CTCCTACACAGGCACGGATGGTGCTGGTGAGAACTGGGAAATAATTTCCCTTTAATTAAGCTCCTACATATCACACAATGTTGTTACCTGAATATTCATCCACAGTGCAGTTTTGTATGGTGTATTAAAACCACCTACAGACCATTCATTTCCACTGCATCAGTTGGAATTGGGTTGAGCGGAGCGTTGGAGTGCTGCAGCACGGCTGCTGTATGCCAAGCAGTTCAGCTGATAAGTTTGTTTCTGTGCTCTGTCAGGTGCTCAGCTGCCTGCAGCCTTCCTGTGGCAGGCTGTGTGTGTGAGCAGGCTGTGTGTGTGAGCAGGCTGTGTGTGTGAGCAGGCTGTGTGCTGCACACAGCTGCCCCTGGCCTCCCCAGCTCTGCAGGGCCCCTCTGTGCTCCCTGCGGCGTGTGCAGATGGGCTGCACGGCATGCAACCAAATATGAGATGTGCTGATGTGATACAAGGAGCCTTGAGGTCAGGCTGGTGGAACACAGCCCATGGCCAATCCAGTTTTCTAAAGAAATGTCCTTACTGACTTCATGCTCATCTTCAGGTTTCCTGTGCAAGCAGAGCAAATCTGTGTCTGTCTTAATAAATGAATAAATGTGAATGGTATCTCTGATTCTTGGGCGTGTTTTCAGGCTGTAGCTCCTCATCTGATTCAGATAGCTGCATACTGCATACTTTTTGCATAGCCCAAAAAAGCAAATAAATTCAGGGTTTTGTATTCCTTTCTTCCCTTTTACTTTATTGATTCCATACCTGAGCTATGTGCTGGCTGTTGGGTGCTCAGTTCTAAGCCATCTCATTCTGCTCATGCTTCTCATAAAGCACTCTGGAGCTCCCTGTGGGGCTGTGGATCCTGCCACACAGCTCAATGCCTCCTGCAGGTACACGTGGATCCAAGCCAGCCTGAAGATCACAGGGAATTAACCATGAGCTGCATTCAGGCTCTAATTGTTAGCATGCTGCTCTAAGCACTGAACCATTTCCCATTTCATCTCTGCCTGAAATTTAGAAGAGCAGAGCTTTTTTTTTTCTTTTAAACCAGGAAATGCATTCAGTTATGTTGTATTGAGAGTGCATTATCTTCTAGTGACGTCGCTGCCCTGTGACGTTGCCTGTGAAATCACAATTCTGGTGGTGCATCATTAGAATTCTGTTTGTGCCTGTGAAATCTTTGGGTTTGTTTTTTTATTAAACAGCAAATCTGCAAATTCAGTAAGAGCATGAAGCTGGTGAAGGAGTTGGCAGCACGTCTGGGTGGCATTCTGTGCAGTCAGAGGGCTGTCAGAGGTGTGGGTGTTGCTGAGCACTCAGCCCAACCGTGGTGCAGCAGTTAATGGAGCAGATTGTCAGAGGGACTGCAGGAAGCAGTGGCATGGCAAGGAAGATGTGATTGATGTGTGAGAGGTAATACATGGCCTGTAATGAGAAATTTCCATTCCAAATGAATGGAAAAATAACGGATGGGGATAAAATTGGTAGCGTCACTTCCTGAAGTGACATGTAACAACATGTTTGGCTGCTTATTATTCTCTTGAATAAGCTGTAACAAGGCTGAAATCCTCCTGATTTCGGTACTTAGTTCAGGTTGAATTATGGTAGGAAAAAAGTGTTATTTCTGAAGGTGGCAATAGGAAAAAAGTCCTGTTTAAGGAGATGCTAGGAATATGGTGATGTTTGTGCTTGCTCACCTTGTCTATGCTCTGGAGCAAAAGCTTTGGCTCTGCCATCACGTTGCCTTTGTAGGATGGATGTGGCTCTTGTTACCTTCGAGGAAAGTCTGCCATAAACTCAGAGCTTGGAAGCACAGCACCCCAAAAATACAATAAATTACAATGAAAAAGCTCCAGATCTTAGTATGTACCCTCAGGAGTTGAGAAAGCTGCTGAGCCTGAGCCCTGAGTTGTCTTTGTCCAAAATCAACAGGGAGATGAGCCATAAAAACCCTCCCCTGAAATATAAGTGCTGCTTAGATAGTGGAACTCTGATTTTGTCTTCCTGATGACAGCTGCTTTGGGATCTTTAGAATCACAGATTTATAGAATGGCCTGGGTTGCAAAGGCCCACAGTGCTCATCCAGTTCCAACTCCCTGCTGCGTGCTGGGTTGCCATCCAGCAGACCAGGCTGCCCAGAGCCACATCCAGCCTGGGATGCCTGCAGGGATGAGGCACCAAAATCCCTTTAACATGCATTTATTGCCTTCAGACACCAGCCCTGGGTGTGCCAGCCTTACAGCTTTCCAGAACAAAGATTCTGAGGAAGGAATTTGACCTGCGTAGCACATTTGTGAATTACTGCTTTACATTTGAAGCTTTTCAGTCTGACAGATAAATGACAGGCGGTGCCTCTTCCAGCTGCATGCAGCACAATTACAGCAGGGCTGTTCCGGAAGGCTCTGGCACTGGGGCTGCTGAGAGCTCAGTGGATTGATGGCACGGGAGCAGCGTTTGCCTGAAGTGCGATGTTTGCTGTGGTGCAGTGATGTACTGGCATCTCCCTGCTGCTCTCTCACATTGCTTAGCTAATGTGCCTCAGCTCAGGCGTGAAGGGAATAAATTGGTAGGTGGATAGCTGCACTTGTGTGTGCACTTGTGCTTTGGCCTCTTTGATTAGTGCCTATTGTTTATGGCTGCAGCTCCTCACACCCCTTCCCCTCAGACCCTTCCCCATCTTTGTACTCCTCCTTTGGGAGCTCTCTAATAGAATCGTAGAATCATAGAATGGCTTGGGTTGCAAAGGTTGCAGAGGCCCACAGTGCTCATCCAGTTCCAACCCCCTGCTGTGTGCAGGTCACCAACCAGCAGCCCAGGCTGCCCAGAGCCACATCCAGCCTGGCCTTGAATGCCTGCAGGGATGGAGCATCCACAGCCTCCTTGGGCAACCTGTTCCAGTGCCTCACCACCCTGTGTGTGAAAAACTTCCTCCTAATATCCAAGCTAAACCTCCCCTGTCTCAGTTTAAAACCATTCCCCCTTGTCCTCTCACTGTCCACCCTCATAGTTTTATGTCCTTCTGATATTTTGGCACCCAATCTGCACCCAGTGCTTGTGGTGAGCAGACTGGGACAGTCCCTCTGCAGGGGATAAGTAGGTAAAAAGTCCAGTTGAGAAATAATTCCACATTCATCTGGGAATTTCAGGCTGGGTAGCCCCACAGCCCTGGGCACTACAAGGGGAAAATGGCACATTACAGAAAGCTGTGATGAGATGGAGTGCTGAGGCTGGGGCTGGTTGGGCACTGTCCTGTGGTCCTGCTGCTACCAGGGCTGGGTGTCATGGTCTGCTCTTTTGGATCTTGTTTGATCAAGTGGAATGTCTGGATTGCTCATTGCAGCACAAGCTGTTGCCCTGATTTTTTCTTTTAAATCACTTTTACTTTCCTAACCTTGAGATAGGATGGGGTTCCAGAGAAGGTTATGAAGATGCTCAGAGGGCTGGAGCACCTCTCATAAAAAGACAGGCTGAGGGAGCTGGGCTGGCTCAGCCTGGAGAAGAGAAGGCTGTGGGGTAACCTCATCGCAGCCTTTCAGTACCTAAAGGGAACAGGGGGGAAGAGCAACTGTGGACACGGTCAGATAATGGTAAGAGAAGGGAGAAAGGACTTAAACTAAAAGAGGGGAGATTTAGATCAGGTATTAGGGAGAAACTCTTTACCCAGAGGTGGAGATGCCCTGGCACTGCTTCCAAGAGCTGTGGTGCCCCATTCCTGGAGGTGCCATGGTTGGGCCCTGGGCAGCCTGAGCTGGGGGACAGCCAGCATACAGCAGGCGGTTGGAATTGAAGGTCTCTTCCAATCAACCATTCCCAAATTTAAGGAGCATGCATGCTTTTGATCTGCCTGAAGTCAAACCAGAGCATGGCAGAGCTGGCTATCAGAGCACAGTGCTGCAGGCTGCAGCAGCAGCACACTGGAGGCACAGAGCAAAGTACTACGACAGGCACACAGCCACCTGTCAGCAGCTTAGCAGCCCTCACTGCACTCATCTCAGAGCAAAATGTCACATCTTGGATGGGAAACATTACGGGCTTTGATGGGAGATGAAGATACAACTGCTTAGTGTAATAAAGGAATCTTACTTTAAATGCAAATGCCTAGCTTGCTTTTACGGAGTTGTAAGAACTGAACTGCTGTCTTGAAAATGATTAGTCTTTTAAGCATCAAACAAACCTGTTCACAGGGTTGCTACTCTCTCTCTTGTAACCAGCTGCACTTGCTACAAAGAGCATCAACATCTTCTCAGAGTGATTGTGGCAGTTATTTTACCAGGTGTAGATGCAGAATAGTACAGCAAGGAGTCAGGGTGGCTGTGTGTCTGTGGTGGGGCTCTGGTGGCTCCCAGTTTGGAGATAGCCCTGATAGAATCTAAAAGGCTGGCTTTTTGCACAAGGCATTTTGTCACCTGGTGGTAATAAGAATAAAAACCTTAATAATTTCTGAGCACACAGCCCGACTGGGCTGCTTCTATCATGTCTGTGCTATGGTTTTACCAATACATATCTGCATGTTAAGCATACAAATGAGGTTGGGCAGTTTCTGCCCAAGTTCTGGGTGCTGGGTCTGTGCCGTGCCAGCTCAGTGTCACCAGAAAGGAGCTCTCAGGACTTGCAAGTTGCTCTGGTCTGTGTTTTTCACAACACAGCTTTCACCATTTTACAGTGATGAACAGCAAATCTTTGGTAAATATTCAAATGAATATTTTCCCTTTTAAGTAGAGGGAGAAAAGAATCAGTCCTGCAACAGTAGCTGCTGGCCCAAATAGAAGCACACAGAAAGCCTATGCTGCTTTTTTTTTTGCCAACTATAGAAGAGATGTTGCAGAGAACATGAGATGTCGCATCTCTGTAGTCAACAAAATATTGTAGTTCCCATTGCAGCAAATGCCTTTCTTTGTGCCAAAGTGGGTGCTGCGTTTCAGGTTGCCTGCTTAAGGGGGTCTGTATAACTGTGTGTGATGTCCCTTCTCTTACAAAAGTCTCTGTTTGGTTTGCAGCAAGGGAAGCCCTATGTCTTTGACAGAGTGTTACCTCCCAACACAACCCAGGAGCAAGTTTATAATGCCTGTGCCAAGCAGATTGTTAAAGGTAGGTGTTGTTCTTCTTTATTGCCATTTCAGGGGAAGGAAAATGATGTCTCCCTGTCCACTCAAGCCATTTAAAGACAGGATACTAGAGCAGTCTATACCAGAACTTAGTAATTATTGCAGGCATGGCTTTTTGATGGCTTTTTTTTGTCTGTCCCTGAGTGGTTCCATGCAGTGGCTGGCCTGCTTGCTCCCAGGGTTCGGTCCTCAGTTTTTCTTTTAAAATCACAGTGTTCAGATAGTGGGGATGTCGTCACAGCTGGCCACAGCACAAAGCTGTGTGGTGAATGCTGTGGGTATGGGAGATCTGAGGTTGCTCAGAGGTGCAGGAGCGGTGCTGGAAAGCTCTGCAGCCTTTAGGGGAGTAGGCAGCTTGGTGAGCTGGATGCTGCCTGCAGGAAGAGGGCCTGGGCTGAGCTGTGTTGATGGCAGCCCTGGGTTTTGTTCAGGAGGAAGTGGGCTGCCATCACACATGTAGTCTGGGCGATAAGGGATCAGGACCAGAAGCTAATTATTTGATGTTGTAGAGAGGAAATGAGTCATAAGGCTCAAGTTGCCTGCTCTCTGAGGGGAGGCTAATTACAGCAATTCTGATTTCTTCATGTGGGTAAGCCTTTAACAAAAACTGGTGGCACTGGAATTTGTAGAGCTTAGAGATCATTCAGATTGCTGACACACAGCTCCACTTGTAGATGTGTTCCAAAGAGTTCCACTATTCTAGTGTGTGCTGATGTTGGATAGTTGATGTCCAATAATTGGTTTGCCTTTTTTGTGTGTGTGATGTCTCACGTGGCTCTTACAGGCAGCAGTCCTGAGTTTCTGTTTCTGTGAAAGTTAGATATAATGAGAGAAATAAAACATTGAATGTTCACTTTGAAGCCTAATAAAGTGAAGAATGTGATGCAGGCTGTTCTGTTTCTGATAGTTGGGTACAATGTGATTTACTTCATGGAAATATCAGCTGAAGGTGCCACAATGTGAAGCAATATTTAAACCTTGGAGGCTTTTCAGATCAGTTTTCAAGGTTACCATTTGTTATCAGACTTCATCACACTCCCATGAAGTGGCTGATGGTTTCCTTGTGATTAATGTTATCACCAAAAACACCAGCTGGACTGACAGGCTCTAAAACAATGGCTGTCATAATGATGTTGACAATAAGAGTGATCCAAATGAGGTTTTTTTTAGCTGAAAAAGAAATGGGATTAGGTTTAAGTAAGTAGCTCAGTAATTCAGCCAAAGTATGTCACATTCTGTACATGAGAAACGTAAGGAAGGAGATTTTGAGAAGCAACCCACTAGGTCTGGTGCTGGGTGGGCACTGCATGTGCTCCCAAAGGCTGCATTTGGGCTTCACGATTCCAGTCCATAGAATCACAGAATGGCCTGGGTTGCAAAGGAGCACAGTGCCCATCCAGTTCCAACCCCCTGCTGTGTGCAGGGCCGCCAACCAGCAGCCCAGGCTGCCCAGAGCCACATCCCGCCTGGCCTTGAATGCCTCCAGTTCTCACCATCACTCCATTTCCAGGTCTCCAGAGCTCCACAGCTGCTGTGGGCAGTGTGTTGTGGAGCTTTACTGGGCAGCGCAGTGCTGCTGGTGCTGTCAGATTTTGTGGATGCCCGGTGCCAGTGTGTCTGTGTTGCCACATTTGCAGCAATGCACCATCTGGCAGCAGTGCTGGGACTGAGCCGGGCGGCCATCCACAGCAGTGAGTGAAGCTGAAAATCAATGCAGAGAGGGCTCAGCAAGGAATGGACAAGAGTGGTTGAGCTCTCGTGTTTGTTATGAGTTACATAAAACCCGCAGCTGATCTTTGTGGGATCATTCCTGTTCATCTGTTGTTTTTTTCCACTTGAAGTTTTGGGCAGGCTGTTTGTCTCAGGGCCCGTCTTCTCTTTTTAGTCAGCTGACAGATGGTGAATTAACCATCTTCAGTGGAAAGCCTTTCACCAAACATCCCTTTGGCAGGCCAACTATCATGTGTCTGCATGTAGGCAGCATAGTCCCACAAGCAGGGCCACAACCTACACACGTTACTGCTTGGGCCATGGTGCCTTGGGATGCATGCAGTGTTTCCATTCAGGATTTCCAAGTTCTCACAGGATTAATAGCTGTTTTCAGCATTCCTTTAACTTTCATGGCATGCCCGACGTAAAAAAGTTACACATATTGTTTTAAATTACTCTAAATGAGTTGGTGGCTCTCTGGTTTGTATGCTGGGAGATCACAGTCTGTCCCATTGCAGGCCTGGACCGTCTGCATACATACATGGGGAGATGCAAACAAGGAGATTACATTTGTCTGTGTAATAATACTTAATCTGGACATGTGCATATATATACAGGCAGTGGGGTGGTCTGATGGGAGCAGCAGAGTCAATACTACTGATCTTTAGACTAAAGGTTTCTTCTCCTTCATTAGCTGCTACAGTAAGTAGAATCATAGAATAGAGTCATAGAATGGCCTGGGTTGAAAAGGACCACAATGACTGTGTAGCTTCAACCCCCCTGCTATGTGCAGGGTCATTTTAGAAGTATACAGTATAAAGAACTGTTCTGCCTTGATTGGAAGTCTATTTTCAACAGAGCTAATTCCTGTTTGTCTCTCTTCTTCCTTTGCTCTCCTGCTTTGCTGACAAGCTTGAAAATTTATAAGGCTCTGAACTGTTGAGTGATAACAGCAATAGAAAAAGTGTGAGCTTGTTTAACTTCGTCTTTGGAGGCTTGAAGATAGCAACTTGCATTGTATGTTTCTGACTGACCTTCTGCATTTTAGATGTATGAAACACTGATAGTGCAGCTTCAAGATGCCATTATGAGCTTTAATTGTTTTCCTCCTCCTTTGCAGATGTTCTTGAAGGCTACAACGGCACAATCTTCGCTTATGGGCAGACATCATCAGGAAAGACACACACCATGGAGGTACAGTGGCAAAGTTGAATCAGTAGAATTTTATGTACTGCATGCTTTAACAAACCTACTAGCTGGAACAATGAGCTGTGAGGGGCTCATTAATACAGACCACTATGGCCTTTGCATATTTGTCATGACAGCTTAGCCGTGTGTATCAATTGTGAAGAAGCTGAGTGAGATTCCTTAATCCACAGGGAATACAGTAATATGGATACAGTTCCCTTACATGCAGGATTGTTCAAATTCATGCCGTGGTTATTGGTCTTCTCATTTGTACTCATCTTCTGGGAATACCAGCCTCGCATGCTGTGGCACAGATGGATGAACTGATGCGTTTGGAAATTGTTGCTTTAGAGGAGGAGAATATCTGCTCCTGTGGCTGAGGTCCTAAGTCTGTTCCTATTTCTGCTACAGGAGTTGCTACAGTGTCTTTTTTCTTCTGTGTGAGTTTTTGTTTTGGTTTGGTTTGCTTTTCCCCTGCTGCTCTGGCAGACACATGCATATATTCTCGTCCCTTCCTATAGCAGAAGGATTATTCAAACATTTAATCCTAGCACAGGATTGTTCTGTCACAGCACTGCACAAGCCACATGTATTTGTCTTAAAGCATTTGGGTTCAACTATGAACTTTCAACAGGAGATCTAGAGCAAAGCACTGCTAAATGAAATGAAGGGAAACAAAAAGCTGTCCTTTGTTTAACAGCGTCAGATGGTTTTGCTACGTGATTAACACAGCTGACCTACCTGACCTGAAGGGTAAAGGAGAAGGAAAGCAATATTCTCTCGAGCCAGTAGGCCCTGATGAAATTGCTGTTTAATTGCCACAGTTGCTCCTTTCCTGGAGGATGCAATAACTGATGCCTCATGTCTTATTAAGTCTGTCCTTGCCTCCTTTGGAGACTAGGGATGGGGAAAATCACTAGCTCGGGCCTCACAGATGGCACAGTGACTGAGTAATCCACCCGCTCTGAATGTAATTACATCAAAATGTCTGCAGGGCTTGAGCGGGTCCTTCCACATGGCATGGGGAAAGATCTCTTAAAGCCAATTTATATTCGGAATTACAAGCTGTGATGAAGAAAACGGCTGTAGAAAAATGTCCATTTTGCTTTTTTAATAAAAAAGAAGCTGTCATTTCTAAAGTGGAATCAAGTCTAAATGCAGTTTAATCCCTCTTTGACTCTCACATCCCCTTGTAATGTTGCTACAGCATGTTGTGGAGGAAAAAATAGTCTGAAGTTGAAGAAATATGAAATCCTGTATAGGGAAAGGATTTTCTGTGAAATGCAGAGTGCTGCCTGGTATCAATGTTAGGCTTAACCAGGGCACGGTGGTGTAATACAGCCAAGAAGGGCTTTCTGACATCCACCTTCCTCCTGGGTGAATAAAACATTTAATAAAACATAGCAGGATGAATATCTTCTTTAAAAACATGTAGGTTTTTTTCGACAGGAGAAACTGATTGGCTCTGCTGTTACATTACAGTTTTCAATAGCAAGTCCCTCCTTGTCAACATCTTGAAGTCAAGCAGCAGTGCCTCAAATGTTGCTCTTCACTATCCCCTGTCTGCTTGCTGTGTAGGATCACAGAATTATAGGGCTCAGAAGGGATCGATCATCTAGTCCAACCCCTAAAAATTAATGTTGTTTTTAAAATGAGGCCTTAATGAGCAGAGAACTCTGTCCTGGTGCTCTGGGGGAGCTTACTAACTGCAGTGTCAAAGTGACAGCAGCAGCAGCAGCAGCACTTCTCTCCAAACTCATTCTGAGGTTACAGATAAACCCATGGCAGTGTTTTCCCTGCAGATTTCTGTGAATAGCCATCGTTTCCTTTGTTTTCCCTTCCAATGTATGCTCTCTGTGGAATTCCTGTTTTAATAAAAATCCATTCATAATGAAGTTAAACCAATTATTTTTCAATGGAGTGCTGGTATTATAGTTTTTAAAGCAGTGAATGTCATCTTGCTTCATTGCTTCATTGCTATTCTGACAGCACTGACTTAAATAATGAGAAAACCAAAGCTCACAAAGTTGTAGGTGCAGTGATTGAATTACATGCAGCCTTAATCATTTTGTTTTACAAATTAACTTACTTTCTCACTACAGTGAAAGCTATGGAAAGGAAAGCAGACATACTACACAGCTCCTAGAGGTTAGGAGAACAGGTAAACAAATACTTCCCTGAGTTGTCTTTTATGCAGAGACCAAGCACCCTTCACCTTGTGCAGTGCAGCACAGTGCAGAGATGCCAGAGCTGACACATCTCTGTGCAGGCAGAAGTCCCTGGGACAGAGCTCTGAATTCACACTATTCTTTGGCTGAGCTAGCAATCCATGCAACAATCTAAGCACTCCTAGGGAAAAGGAGGCACTGCTTAGCTCCTTTGTTTCTGGATCTGTAGCTGCCACAGCTAGCTGGATCATGCATCTTACATTGCTTTATAGTTTGGATGCACCTTTGGTTGCATATGGGAGTGGTGAAGAAATACCAACAAATTTCTGTTTATCCTGGTTTACTAAAAGCTCCTTTATCCTCTTTGGGAAGACTGTCTGTGTGCAATAATGCAGCACGGGTAGTCAGTCGGCTTTGGTGGAACCTAAGGACTTCTTCACTGAGAAGGAATGAATGAATAGTGTGAAAATTGTATTGCAGTGTCTGTCCAAAACCAGTGTTGTGTAATGGAGCTAAGCATTGTGCAGTGAAGCCTTTGCTGGCAAGGCAAAACACAGTGCTGGGTTTTGTTTCGAGTGTGCATGCATACAGATTTCTTTCCCCTCCCTCAGGAATTTATTTAATCACCCTCTTTTTCATTTTCTGAATTAAAACACCATAGTGTACAACCAGGACTTAGCTTTTGCAGAGCTTCATAGGGTGATGTGTATAGTATAGCATTTAACTTCTTCCACTGCAGAAGTTGATATTGCTTATATAACATGAATAAAATGCTGTTCAGATACAGCTGAGAGCTGCTTTAGAGGGAAAGCAGTCAGGAAAGCTACTGATTTCTCTCTTTCAGCCTCTGTCTTCTGTTCTTCCCGCTGATATACATAGTTGAAAGGGAGAAACCTGGTAGCTGCTTTAAATGCAAGCTGAGAGAGAAGAAGAAGAGAGACAGCATTGGTTCTTCATGTTAGATTTCCCTTTATCCTAGGCTAATGACTCGACTGCCATTTCACCAGCTTCAGCATGAAATGATGTCAAGGAAGACTCTATTTAAGTGCACTAATAAAGGCTGAGTCGGTCACAAGCAAATATAACTGAGAATTGTGTGTGTTTACGACTTTCTGCCTGTGTTAGTAAAACTTTCTTGTTGCTTGATAACTGTTAGCAGCTCCAGCTCAAATCTGAGCTCCCATCATTGAGAACTGCGTGGCTACCCGTTTTGTTATTCCCAACCAATATTTGGAGTACAATGCTTTGTTGTGCAGATACTGATGTTCTGAAGATCAGAAGGTACAGTCTGATCTCAGGGTCCTGATGGTGTCTTATGCCTCTTGACTTGAGTGCTTGTTATCCCATATTTATGCAGGTTCACTGAAACGTGGAAATAACAATTGAGCATGCTGCAGTCAGACAAGGTTTTTATTTCAAGTCTATGTTTTTATTCAGGTTTCAACCAGTGCCATCTTTCCAATCTGTGTCTGATTTTTTCAAAATGAGCAAAGCAATTAAAAGCCAAGCAGCCAGGGCAGTTGGTTTGATCTCATATTCAGTTCTTCCTAGAATAGTGGAAGGTAGCTGTGCAAATTAACACAGAGAACAGTGGTGTTTGTGAGGCACTGCTCTCTGGCAGCAGGCCACGCAAGCTCAAATCAGAATATATTACTCTAATCCCCAAGTCCCCACAACACAGCCTTCTCTTTAGCTGTTACTGGCAAAAGAGAATTGGGATGCTTTAATGCTTCTTGTTTCTGATGTGTTTCCAAATAGCTGATTTTTAACTGGGAGCAGCAGGCGGTAATTGGAAAGTTTGTTTTGTTTGTATTTGTTTATCTGTCTTACATCAGAGAGTGGCAGTGTGCATAGCAGCAGGACAGCATGCATCACAAGTGGTAGGAGCTGACAAAACAGATAGGTGCTCCATGGGGTGAAGAGTGCTAACATGTTGAGTCACCCTGCCATCTTTTATGTGTGTTTGCATCAAGCAAATCCCCACGGAGCAGCAGGCTTGTTTGCAGAGCCCCACTGGCTGAAGGTGTGTTTGAACAAGGCTTTCCCTTCTCCTGTGCTTAAGCAACACTTTCCAAGTCATGGTTTGCTTTTGTGTCCGTAGGGGAAGCTGCATGACCCTCAGCTAATGGGAATCATTCCGAGAATTGCACATGACATCTTTGATCACATCTATTCCATGGATGAGAACCTGGAGTTTCATATAAAGGTAAATGCAGGGTGGCACGTTATGTAATGGGTCAGCTGAAAGAAGGCTGAAACTGGATTCTGGTTAGAGAGCATGGCTGCAGAGTTTTTCCTTTCTCCTACCTGTGATTCAAACTGCTTTACTGAGGACATTTCTTAGAAGATGGTGCTCTGGGCACATGCATTTCAATAATTCATCTGAATACCTCTGAACCAATTACTGGTGTGCTGGAAGGAGTAGTTCTTCTTGTACTGGGAGCATTTAAGCATACACATGAAGTCACTGCTACATGAAGTCACTGCTACATGAAGTGCAGACAGAAGCAACCTCACAATAAACCATCTAAATATTTGAGTAGACTGTAGAATGTAGAACGTTGAGCTCTTCAGAAGAGACACCTTTGAATTTTCATAGAAATGGTTTTTGTAGCAGTGACACTGATTTCTTTTCATCATCTGTAAAAGTCTCCTGTCTATTCCTATTCTGCATGATAACATTTTGATGCTAACAGATGGGGACCCCCTTGTACAAGACACCAGACATATTAAATTCCTGTCCCAGCAGAATTTTATCACTCTATAAATCACATTCTGCCAGCACTGAGCAGTTTTTGTGGATTCCTACCCTAGCTGACATCTATGAATATTGTAACAGAAAAGCTGCCTAAGTAGCAGTGAATAAGTGAGTGATGATCAAGGAGCTGTCATTTAGAGAAATGCACATTCTGTCATTTGGAGCAAGATTATAACCAAACTGTCACACTCTTTTAATAACTAAGCCAGCTCAGAAAACGAATATCAATTTTTTCTCCCTCTCTAATTGAAACCCATTAAGAACTGGGAGGGGAACTTGATGTCTCCTGCATGTGTGGGTCCACAGCAGTGTGTGTTAATGGGATGATAGATAGCACGTGAGCTGAGTGTGGGTGAGCCAGGCTATTGAAATGTGTGGTCCAAAAGATGGCTTTAAATGTGACACAGACAAAGAAAATGTCCCAAATGGAAGCATTTCTGTATTTAATAGCAGTTGTCAAAAACAAACAAACAAATATATAGCATTCTTTTTCACTTGAGATAAAATGATACTTTACTAGGTGGTTAGAATTTATGGATACCTGCAATTTAGCCATCTGGTATTGGATTTGCTAAATAATCCCTAGGTAAATCTTAGTTCTGGTGCAGTTAGGCACCACTCTGACAACACGTTTCTGTTTGCCCCTGTTGGAGCTGAATGCCCTTTTATTCAGATAGTCACTCATTCATTCGACTTCTTAAACTTATTTTCTGTTCTTTATCCCAAGCACAGTTGTCTCTTTCTGTGACAGAGAAGCTCGTTTTCCATTTGCTGTTTGAGACTTGATTCAGGAAAGAGCTTTTACAATATGCTTCATTGTAGAGTTTCATTTAATGTGTGTAAGTCAGGCTTGTGTTAGTGGTGTGTTAAACCACGGGCTGTGCTGTCTGCCTTTGTGCTGGAGAATATTGCTCTGCCTCTTGTCAGAGATGCCCTGCAAGTGGTGTCACAGCAGTGCAGTGGTGAAATGATACTAACTGGGTTACACTGATTCTTTTCAATATTTCTGTGTCCAAAAGTACGAGGAAGCTGGGTTTGTCTGAAGCTTTTTGACATGCATTCCTGATGGACCAGCGATAAACAGAGGGAGCTTGTTGGCATGGAAATCATTCAGAAGAGAAAGATGCAATTCGAAGCATGCAGGAGATGGGTTTTACTTTTAGTTTGGTGCTTTTCATTTAGACAGATAAATATAGGTAGAAGCATTTTTAAACTGCTGGAGTTTAAATCCGTAATGCTTATGATTCTTTAATTAGGTTTCCTACTTTGAGATCTATTTGGACAAAATAAGGGACCTACTTGATGGTAAGTTTCCCATTTTGGATGTAACTACGTGGTGGTTGGTTTGCTTTGGGGCTTTCTTCTCCCTTCAGTTCTGTCTTTGAGTGATTTAATTTGAAGTTGTGTGACTGTGATTGGGTGTCTTTTTGTTTGTTTGTTTGTTATTTGTTATTGTTTTTCCCTTTGCTTTGCTTCCCTTAGGTGGAATTTTATGGGAGATAACCATTTGTGTGTCTGTATGTTACTAAAAGTAACTTAGGCTTTTTGGAATCAGCCTGAAGACAGAGAAATGTAAATCATAGTAACACTCAGGAACATCTACTCAAGCTTTTTTTTTGAATTCCCATGAGACCTTCTGATTCTTTTTGAATTTTTGCTGCTTTGAACAAATTCAGATCATTTAGCCTTGATCATACCAAGACAAGCAGTGAAGGAAAGGTCTTTTCTATAAAGGTAACTATAAGGAAACAGGTACAGAAAAAGAAACAAAATATATGTACAGAAATAGCATTAGTTAATAAGGAGTAGGCAATTACTACACTCTGCATTGACAGATGTAATACATTCAGAATATATTTAATATATTCAGAATATTTGCATTTTTGTGTCATGTCTATATTTGACACAGTCTTATGTATGGAATGTTCCTCATGGTTTCCATCTTTCTTTCTAGTGTCAAAGACAAACCTTGCTGTACATGAAGATAAGAACAGAGTTCCATACGTGAAGGTACGTGGCGAAGATGAAGCTGAACCTTTCATTTTTCTCAGGCAACAGACATATACATTCATTTATGCTTGTGTACCTGTGTGTTTACTGAGATGATTCAACTGATGTTCTGTCTTGAGTGCTCAAGCAGTATTAGATCCTGAATCCAAACAGTTTCTTGAAATATTAATGGGCTTGAATCATTTGTTTGCTTTGCTTTACTGACTTCAAACATTTACAATGTGTACTAGTGATGTTAAATTCTCAGTATTTCTGTGTCTGTTTCATGTGGAATATGAAAGAGAACATCTTGAAGAATTTTTTTAATACTTTGTCACTGTAGTCTTGCAGTATTTTAGAGCAGATTTGTTGGGCTGGGATTTCACAGAAACTGATTCATGACTTCCTGTGCCCTCACTTAGATACCATATATTTCTTGTGAACATATGTGAACCCTAATAATGTACATATGATATCATTCTGTTTATTCTGACCCTGGAGAGGGTAAAAATAGTAAGATAGTTCCCTTACTAATATTGCAGAGAAAGAGTGCTCTGTCTTGTGTGGATCGAGAGAGAAAAACTAATTTGGATGCATCATCTCACCCAAATTAGCAGTAGGCATATATGCTGTGCTGTTCTTTATGTGCTGTGTCTGGAAACTCTCTCCTGTACATTAGGATTTGACTGAGTATTTAATTTTGGAAAAAAAAGGCTCTCAACTTTTCCCATCAACAGCTGCTGGAAGTCGTACCAAGGCAGGTGTGGGTCACTGCCTTGCTGGTGGTTGGGTCTGGTGTTGATGATTCTTCTCCTTATTTGATAATCCATGCTATAGATTCTTGATGGCATTTGGAGTACTTGCGCTCTTCTAAACTTTTCTTGTGTTTCATTTCCAGGGTTGTACAGAAAGATTTGTATCTAGTCCTGAGGAGGTGTTGGATGTCATTGATGAAGGGAAAGCTAACCGCCACGTGGCTGTTACAAGTAGGTGTTCTGTGGGCTTACAATTCTTTCTCTGTCCATGATGTTGAACACACATTCTTATTGCAGTTCTACATCAACACATCTAAATAGTGTTATTGTATCACGTGAGATTTTTCTGTGTGTGCTGTATACTCCTGAAGGAGCACAAATGGAGAGAACCTTCCTTCCTTTCTGTATCCCTGCAATGCTGTCTTATTTTACTGTCAGTGTTAATCCTTTTCATACTATTTCTGGTTCAATTTCATTGGTTTGGGGAAAAGATAAACTTTTCTTTAAGAAAAAAAGGGAGGGGGGGAAAAAAGCTTTTTCCAAGCCTGTCATGTATTATGGTTCTGGTTAATTTAGGTCTTGGTGGGAGGAACTAAGAGCTTGTTCCATGGTCTGTGGGTGTGACATGCTGCTGTCCAGGACTCCAATGAATGGACTCTTGTGCTTGAATTTGTTAGGCGTTGGATAGCACTGAAATATAACTTCTTGTCACTTACACAACACTTTTAAAATGTGATTCCTCTGCAGATATGAATGAACACAGCTCTAGAAGTCACAGTATCTTCCTTATTAATATTAAACAAGAAAATGTGGAAACGGAGAAGAAACTTAGTGGAAAACTGTACCTGGTAGACTTGGCTGGAAGTGAGAAGGTAGTCTTTCTTCATAAGATGTTTGGAGATACTGGTGAGATTACTCAACTAAGCACGTGCATATAAAAATCTCCCTTGGCTGAGGATAAGCTTGTTTTGTTGTTCTTCCAAGAGCATCTTCAATTGTTGCACTGCCCCATCTGCACTGACTTGCCAGTAGCTGAGCCTGACTGTTGCCTGCTCTCTCGGTAGGTCAGCAAAACTGGAGCGGAGGGTGCTGTTCTTGATGAAGCTAAAAATATCAATAAGTCTTTGTCTGCTTTAGGCAACGTGATATCTGCCTTGGCAGAAGGAACTGTAAGTAATCCTGTTTTGTGCTGGTTTAGAATAACTTTATTTATCTTTCTTTATCATGCATATAATAAGCTACGGTTTCAGTTCAGAAAGAAGGAAGTATTGGTTTTTCAACCACAATCCAATAATGGTTTTAGTAGTCTACTGAAGATAAAAAAGCAAATTGTTAGTGATTTCACTTGAGTGGTTATCCAGTGCAATTCATCATAGCACAATCAAAACTGATGAACTTTGGAGGACTGTATGCCTCAAAGTTCATTAATCCTGTCGTTGTTGACTGATATTCTCTACTGCTGTTTAAAAAAATTGTTCATGCATCTTATTTGTATTTTGATTAGAAAACTCATGTTCCATACCGTGACAGCAAAATGACCCGGATACTTCAGGATTCCCTCGGTGGAAACTGCAGAACCACCATTGTTATATGCTGTTCTCCTTCTATTTTCAATGAAGCAGAAACAAAGTCGACCCTGATGTTTGGACAGCGGTGAGTCCTACTTGGCACGAAGATAGATAGCTCTCATTGGAGCTCTTCCATGTGTTCTGAGCCAGGTGTGCTGGTGGCAGTGACATGAAGAGGCGTTTTTAAATGTGGAGGTCACGATTTCTGAAGTTGTTCAAAAGACAGAACTGAAGAACTTGAGCAGACTGTCGCTTTATTCTGTATGGTACCAGTAAAAGAAGTATTAGTGTTGGCCAACAGCTGCTCTACTTTGGAAATTATGAAGTGTTCTCATAGTTCTTTGAAGTTTTGTGGAGAAGATAATGGTGTTGGGCAGTTTTCTGCTGGCTAATTCAGTGGAAAATATTGGGTATTGCTCTGCCTCCTACTGCTGTTGTCGCTTTTAAGATGTATCTTCTCCTTGAATGCCATCTCACTGATTATTGTTATGGTTGCAAAAAAATATTTTTTTAAACAGTAAATTCAGAAAACTGAAGAATGTGGATGCAGTGTAATGCTGGCAGTTTTGATAGATGACCATGATGGCTTTACATGTTGAGAGCATCATTCATAATTTAGGAGCAAGCAAGGATTAACAAAATGTGGAAGTGGTTGAAAGGCAGATTTTATTTGTGTGCGTATCATTGGATGTAGTCATATGAAATACATTTGGAAAGGCTGCCAAAACAGTCAGGCTCATTACATGATTCCTTCTATTGTAACTAAAGAGAATTCTGAGAGTCATTTGCTTTGTGTCGTATAAATTTATTTGCATGATAGCAAAATGAAGAAAATTCTAGCAGCTTAAGATTGTTTGAGAGATTATTTAACAGTTTGTACAATAATTTGATTTATCTTGGTCAGAAAATAGGTTGTGTCTTCCACTTGGCATAAGTTTTGCATTAAATTTGACACTGTTATGGTGCATTTTACATAGGGAATTAAAATCTTGTATAAAAGACAAATCTGATAATCTTGTATTAGTTCATCTCCCCGCTGTTAGTGTTTGAGGTGAGCTCTTACTTGGATTTTCCTTGGATTTTGTTGAAGGAAGATGAGCTCTGTAATGCATTCACATAAGAGCATACAAAACTACAGGATGGGCCCCAAAGGGCACGGAGATGCAGTTGGTGTAGCCCCTCTTAATGGACAGCTGTGGGGATTAAGGGTGATGCTGTAGGTTAAGGCTGGCAGACAGTTCCACAACGCTTTCCCCATCTGGCAGTGCCAGAAACAGGATTAACTTGTCTGCTGCTGGGATTTGTGCAGGTGGGGAAGGATCTGTGCGCAGTCAGGTAGCTGTACGTAGCCTGGATTCCTCTGAGCTCTGCTTCCTATAGCATGGAAGTCAATATAAATTGTTAACGACTCTCAAATACAGAGATTTGCTGATTTTGTAGGTGGCAAAAGTTTAAATATTTGCATGGATCGCAGTTGAAACCTCCCCATGTAGAGTTTTCTGACTTCAGATGGTTTCAGACAAGTGTGGATCTTGTACTTCTGTAAAACTAAAGAGCATTCCCAAAATTGCTGCTGGCTCCTCCTGTGTAAGGCTCTGGTGTCATGGTGTCTGCTGTGGTTAAGAAGTAAAGCTGCATTTCATTTTAAATTGCAGGTAGGCACTGTGATGGGTTTCATTCTGTGGGCTCTGTGTCTGCAGGTAGAGTCTGAAGTAAAAGGAAAGGTGAGCAGTAAGACTTAACAGTTCAGAGTAAAGGAATTACAGGGCCATGGAGCATGGATTTGTGTGTGTGGCTGCTTTTAAAACCTCTAGATTCATGAAGGGACTTAATTTTGGTCTGCAGTGCATGACCATGCTCCAGGATCTCTGGGAACTTGTTTGCATGGGTACCGAGGGATCCGTATGCAGAGGAAGTCCAGTTTCTGTATTATTCCAGCTCACATTTCTCTTGGTTTCATTTCTCTTTCCAGTAATCAGTAAAACTTGCCTTTCTGTTTGGAAAGCAAAACCATTTTCAGACCTCCTTTCAGACTCTCCTGGCTAGCAGAGCTTGGACTGCAGTGACAGGACAGCTGAGAGCAGCAGAGGGAGTTCACCTGCTACACATGCTGGCCATCCCACCACAACCAACCATAAACCTCGAATGCAAATCATGTGCTAGAAATGCTTAACACTGTTAGGAGGAGGAAGGTTTGCTCTTTCTAATCCATAGAAGTGTTCCTTGCTGAAGACTAGGATGCCAGCTGAAGGAAGTGGGAAGAGGGCCGTGTTCTTTGCGAGGCAGCTTGATTAGTGAGTAATGTGTTGGTCGTTTTTAGTTTTCTGCTTAGAAGCTATAGAGTTGTGCTGAAACAGGAGGTCCTGGGGAGCATTTAATTGTGAGGAAGGACATGCAAAGAGGAGGGCTGCTGATGTGCCAGCCCTGCAGAGGAGCACACTTGCTGTACAAGCAGAGTGTTGTCTGTCAGCACTTCCAACAACAATATTGCTGTCTGTGGGGAATGGTTTCATTTCCAGGCCCTTTGGCTGTGATATTCCATTTTTCTGATGTGACAGCATTAAGGGCTGAGTAATGTTAAAGGAAAGGTGTGTGACTCATGGTTGATTACCAGATCCTCCATTTTGCTAAGCAATAAAGAAATATCACCATTAAAGTAAGTGTCGGGGTAAAATTCATCTTCACAGGCCCAGCTGCAAATTCATGGGCTCCTCTGTTAGCAGTGACTTCTTCTTTCTTCTTTTTTTTTTTTTTTGTTTTTGGTGTTTTTATGTTGTTTTTAATTGTAGTTACTGCTGCGTGCTTCATCCATCAGCAGTGCAATGCAGTCAGTGTGTTTTATGGCATTTTTTCAGTGAGTAGAAATGTGGGCTTTTAGCAGAATATAAGACAGTATGTAAAAGCCAACCATTAGGTGTCTGCATCTTTCAGAAGTACAAGGTTATTTTTCAATTCTTCTAAGGTAATTAAACTTCTGCGTGTCACACAGTGCAAGTCACACTTTTTGGCAACCCTGCTCGTGGCAGAGGGGTTGAAAGTGGATGATCATTATGGTCCTTTTCAACCCAGGCCATTCTATGATTCTGTGATATTGAGAAGGTGATTCAGAATCATTAAGTGAAGCCATGAAGGAGATGATAGAAGATCACATGCCCTCCCCAGGGAGAGTTAGCCAGTTTATCTATAGCTGAGGGCAGTTCCTTGCACTGGCACTTCAGCCCACCACAAACCGTGCTCTGTTCTTCCATTACTTAAACAGAGACCAAATTTCTCCTGTGTTTGCTAACACTGGGTATGTCTGGAGAGGCTCAGACCTGAGCAGTGAGGAACAAAGATCTGCAGCTTTCTTCATTCCTTCTGATTTGTTTGCTTTTCCCCTTTAAAAGTGGTTTTGCTAGGGGAGATGCTGTGTGGTTTTTTCCTGCTCGTTTTGCATTTTCTCTTGCAATTGTTCAGGTTTGTCTGGAACTGAGCAGTTTCACAACAGTGAAGTGGTGGTGATTGTTAAACAGATTTGGGTTTGGTGATTTTTTGCCTAGTGGTGCAGCAGCCAGCTTTGCTGCCTACAGAGCAGAAGTGCTTCCTCAGCCAAGCAGCAGCCCAGGTAGCAATCAGCGACCCATGGCTCTCCTCTGCTTCCCTTCTTCCACTGAGCTTTTCAGCCTAAGCCAGAAAAAGCTGTAAATAATGAGTTGGTGGCTTTCTTAGCAGAGAAGTAATAACCAGGCTTGTTTTTGTCAGTTATCTAAAGACAGTTTCTAGAGATTTTCCTTTCAGAAGAAATCTGCAGAGACAGATCCACACATGACTGAAGGCAGAAAAGTCCTATTGAGGCTTAAATAGAAATAATATGAAAGTAGTGAGGTGCTGGAACAGCTGCCCAGAGATGCTGTGATGCCCCATCCATCCCTGGAGGTGTTCCAGGTCAGGTTGGATGGGGCCCTGGGCAGCCTGGGCTGCTATGAAATGGGGAGGTTGGTGGCCCTGCCTGTGGCGGGGGGTTGGAGCTTCATGATCCTTGAGGTCCCTTCCAGCTCCATTCTGTGATTCTAGGTGGTAACACTACTGAGGTTCTGAGAGAAAATGGAATTGTGACATTGCATTTCAGGAAATAAACTGCAAATGTTTCGTAGTTTTCCTTGATGTAATACAAAAATTTCCAAATCCCTATTGTTGCATTGAGATAGAAGTTGCAGAGCAGCTGACGCCTATTTTTGTTATGCAGAGCTAAGACCATTAAGAACACAGTCTCTGTGAATCTGGAACTGACTGCAGAGGAGTGGAAGAAAAAGTACGAGAAGGAAAAAGACAAAAACAAGAGTCTAAAGAATGTTATCCAGCATCTGGAGCTGGAACTGAACAGGTGGAGAAATGGTATGTGTGGGAAAATGCGATTGGGTGTGTTTTAAGGGCAGGTTTGAGTTATGTGTTAAACTCCAAAGCACACAGCCTGCTTAGCACCTTTGGCCACACTGCTGCCTGTTGCTGGCCACAGACTTGGGAATCCTGCTCCAACCCTTCTGCTGAGCTTCCAGTGCCCTGCACTGGAGGTGCATCGATAATTCTCAATACTGTTGGTAATATTAAACTAATAAGAAAAGATAAAATTTCATTTTCTACAGAGAACTGTGCTTTTCAGGCATGAGAATTGGTTCCATTTTGCTTCAAAGTAAGATTTTTTTTTTTAAATAATTAAATTTAACATTGGAACAAGTAGTGCTGTAGTACAGTGACTAGGAATGTTGTTGATGAGAAGAATCACCTCTTGTCTGCTCTTCTGGCTTCTAAGTGAAATCTGTCTAAGAACAGCTAGCGTTTTTCATAGAAACATGAGATTGCTGTTTAGGTTAAGGTACAAGATTAAGTTCCATTTGATAAGGTGGAAGGATTTTTTAATGCATACACACTAATTGCACATATTTATATAAAATACAAAAGCTTTGACAGATAATTTTAGTCAACCACACTTTTAATTTTTCTTCCTCTTCCACTTTTAGGAAGAAAACAAAACAAAACCCAATCCCCTAATAAGCAACAAAGAAATGTGTGTCTCTAAAACCAGGACATACCAGACCTGCATTTCTCTCACACCCTGAAATCCCAACAAGCCCACAGCAGTAAAAGGCTGCTTCCCTGGAGTAATTTTTCCTTTCCATATTGCTTGTCATCTCAGTTCTATGTGTTGATGCTTGCAGCTGTTCAGTAACCCATTGCATGCCTCTTGCTCGCCAGCATTGAGAACAAATCTGCGATTTAATTATTAGTCACAAATTACCTTGCACTTGTCAAGTCTGCTTTTGAATAACACAGATAAAATCTCTGCTGTCCATACTAAAAAGATAATGCCTGTCCCTTATGGGTGCAAAGCAGTGTCACTTTCTTCCACCTCACTGTGCTGTTTCCTTGCCTTTCACATCAGGTAGTGACCTAATGGTTGCTTTCTGCATCTTTCTCTGGGGGGTTGGGCCACTTTAGCACAGGGGATATTTCTCTTATCCACATGGTAAAATCGCTATGGAGACGGTCGGTCTGCTGTGTGTGTTGAGGAGCACTGGGAATTGTTGGCACTTTCATGATCTGCATTTCATTCTGTGTTTGCTCAGTGTGATAATAATTTCAAGAATTGCCTTCCCATCCTAGGAAGGATCTTTAAGAAAAACCTGTGCACATCCATCCTATATGCAGTTTAAACACAAAATGCTGCCTGTGTTGTTTTGTCTGAATACACACACTGCCTCTTCCCCTTCATCTTTTCTCATCGGTGTTACCAAGCCGTACATCAAATGCATTCAAAATATTATTGATTTCTTGTCTGACCTTGTGGAATAACATCATTTGGAAGGGTACTGTATCAAAGGAGGCTCTTTCCAAATGAAATTGTAGCAAAAGCTGTATCTTGAGTATAAAATACAAGATGAATGCATAAATACTCCACCGCTATAGCTTGTCTGTACATTCAGAAAATAAAAATAACATTACAGCAGAAGGAGGCTGTGCCCTGTTCTCTCTGAAGGAGGACTTCTGTGCACAATTAGGTTTGTGCCTTACAGCTAGAAGGATGATGGCCTCCTAGCATTTGTATCAAATTTATGCTCTTCTTCTCCTTGTGGTCTGAAATACAAAGCTGCTGTGTTCAACAAAAGGAAAATCTCAAGGTCCTGCTTGGGAGGCACCTGACTGATGCTCTGCAGTCCAACCACGTTACTGCCCTGCATGCCATCTCCCCTGCTCTGGATGAGCCCATCTTTCTTGCTCTGTTCTACTGAAATGCTACAGAGAAAAAAATCATTGTATATTTTGCTCTATATTATCACTGAGTCATTAGCAGCAGGGCAAAAAGTATTTCTACAGCAGTGTTTTTAGCGAGTTCATCGTGCTTGATTCCGAGTTTCTTCTTCCTGGCTTTAAGCTTGCAAAAACAATCTTCACTGTTTGTTGGTCATTGTTTTTCCTCCCCTGTTTTGGTTTGCTTTCTGGTCTGAACCACTCTGCCTTTTGGTTCTTGATACGCTTGTCCTGTTTGCATGCTTCTGCCAGTGCCCACACTGTTTGGGCAGGAAGAATGCCCCATACAGCCATATGCACTAAAATATCGTAGCTTTTCATAGAAGTGAAAGAAATCTCTGCAGAAGGGTTTGAATGTAGCCTTTCCACACCTTGAACAATGCACACAGCATTCAGCAGTTAAGTCTCTCACTAGATTAATGAATGTAGATTCAATTTCTGGCATGAGCAGCTTGCTTGTCCCTCTTCACTGAACTGCAGCAGCCTTGTAATTGGAATGCTCTTAGGTTATCTAAGAGAATACTCCTCAGAGAAAATAATTTTGAGAGAAGATGTGTAGGGATAACATCCTATCTGGTATGCACAGGCAACATCTGAACATTGGTCTGTGCTATTTCATTTTAGATGTGACAAGGCAGAACGTGAAGATTGGTTTAAATGCAGCTGTCTTGCTTGTTGTCCTGGTGCTTGAGCAGTTCATTATGGGGGAGGGAAAGCTAATAAGGCACTTGGAAATCTGGAGAGGAAGGGACACTGACTGTCTTTAGCTTTAGGCTGGAAGTCTGATTTTTTCCTCCTTATTTCCCCTTCTGCTAATCCACAGAGCTAATCCCTTGTATAACGGGCCCAAGTGAAAGGGAAGTCAGGAGTTCAGTGCTTTCAGTGGCAGCCATTCAAACTGCTGCAACATTTGGTTTGTTTTTCTAACCCTGGAGGTTGCATGGCCATCTCTCTGCACCTACCTTTCCCCATTACCTTTACTTACAGCAGTCCCAGTGGCAGGCCTATGCCCAGATCACCCTTCTGGCTGTCCCTCACCCAGGACTGTTGTGGGATGCCTGTGTTTTTGGCCTCTCCTGTGCCCTGGGTTGTAGTGACCATGGCTTGTGTACCTGCAGGAGAAGCTGTGCCTGAAGACGAACAGATCAGTGCCAAAGACCAGAAGAACCTGGAGCCATGTGATAACACACCAATCATTGACAACATCACACCTGTGGTTGCCAGCATCTCAACAGAGGAAAAGCAGAAGTATGATGAGGAGATTGCCAGTCTCTACAGGCAGCTGGATGATAAGGTGTGAACATTAGTTTTGACTCCATTCTGTGTGTAAATGGAAGCCAAAGCCAAGATGGGTGGGTTTCATTTTTGGTGCTAATTTTGTGTCCTAAGTGTATAGTTTGAATTGTTCTTTTTCCTCCTGGCAGAATGCATGCTCAGCAAACTACCACTGTTCCAGTCATGGGAGAAAGAAAATTAATATATATATATATATATATGTATATATATATAAAATAAAGGGAAACGATATCTTCATGTTTACCAAATATTAGAATTTTGAAGAAAAAGAAAAACAAAAGCATCCCTTGGGCCTTTTTTGTTCATTTTGTTCTAGCTGTGAGCACTCTCTGGAGTGCAGGTGGCTTTTTTTGATTTGCACAGCTTGAAGCACATTATTGGCACTTAAAGCTATCAGCAATACATTTACTGAGCACTTGCCATTAATGGCTTTGGCTTGTGTGAAGATAAGAAGTGGAGAAAAAGGCATCCTATAAACATCGATTGTGACGAATGAGAGCCGCCTAAAAGGCAAACTAGCAGAAGTTTTCAGGACAGCTTTAATGTTGAATCAAAACTCATTTTAATTTTCAAGTGTAATTAGCAGAAAACTACAAAAAAGAAGCCCACTGTTTCTTCTTTTTGAGTAGCAAGGGGAAATTTTGAGCCTTACTTCTGCTGTGCTGTAGCGTGAGGTCTCAGCACAGTCTGTGTGCAAATGGCAAGGCAAGATGTTGCTGGCATTCAAATAACAGTTAAGGTCTTTAAGAAATTACAGCTTCTCTGGGATGGAGACCTCCCCTGTAGTACTCTTGGAGGTTTCACTTACTGATTAGAAAAAGAAAAAAAATGTTGGTCTTCAAATGTAGCAAGGCCTGAATTATTCTTGAAGGAAGCAGAACAGGACTGTGTCAGAGTGAATGCCTGGTTTGCATTACCTGAGAGAATCTTCTTTATTTTAAACCTGTTCAAGGTTTGCCGTGGCATTATTCTTACTAGAAAGGGGGAAATAAGAGCAATCAAATGAGATCTGTGAGAAGCAGCTAAAAGCCTCCAACCCTGTTTCATTGCAGGATGATGAAATCAATCAGCAGAGCCAGTTGGCTGAAAAGCTAAAACAGCAAATGTTGGATCAAGAGGAGGTAAGGAGGAAAACAACAAAACCAACCAAAAGCAAAATATGCTTATGTGACCCTGGTGTAGTGATTCTGTCACAGTTGTTGGCTAGGTGTGCTCATAGTAAGGTAGGAGAAACCCATGTTAAAGCAAGGTTTAAACTTCAAAATTTCCTCATATCCTCACAAGAGCTTTTCAAGCCTTGATTACCTCTAGTAAAGCCTACCATTCTAGTGGAAAGTGTTACTGGAGATACCAAGAGAAGAGTGTGGCCAATATATTTCATTTCAGAAATGTTTTTTCAGTATTCCTGTATCCTTTCAGGGCAGTAAGTAGCAAACAGATTGCCTAGACAGTATACAAATTGCTGCTGGTAATAAATGACTGATCATTATTTTGGCATGAGCAATTAGAGAAAGGACCAAGAGAAATCTGTGAGACTGAAAAGTCTCCTACTGGCACAGATTTAGTCCAAAATCTTGGATTGCTTGCTTCAGACATTATTGTGTTCATTGTTTCTATCTGTAAAGGAATGTTAATGCTTTTCTAGATGAGGAAAATGATCACAACTTATATTCAAAGTGATTTTCTTATCTGTCATTTGTTTATGGAGATTTGAAGACATAAAGTGGTACTGATGCCAAATTACTGAGTTCTCCAAATGTGCTGTGATATTCAGCCAGGAACAATTTTATGCTGTTTATCAAATTGGGAGAAACTGGAGGAAGAAGATTCAGATCAAGAATGTTAACCCTGGTGTGGGAGTCACTTGTCTCTTGTATTCCAAAATACTGATCAGTGTTGGTGTGATTCTTTGGAATAATACCTGTTCCCAAATGTCTGAGCCATTTCAACTGTTTTTTCAGATGTTAAGACTACTCCTGTAAGTGAAAAATGATTCTGTCCCTTAGTCTTCTGTCTTAGTCTTTATCCAGGCTAGCAGAAAGGACTTGCAAGGTTAGGTATTCTATGAGGGAGAGAACATATGAAAATGTTGGTTACTTGTTTGTAACCGATGTGCTACCTTTGGGCTTTTATCCCCACTGAAGGATTTACCAGTTTCATTTTACTCCCTAATGAAGCTCTGTTCACTTCCCACAACCTTCTTTTGATTATTCTCTGTTGCATGCTAGCCATGCCCGTGGCTATTCAGATATAACACAATTCAGTGTGTTCTCAGCAACAGTTTTTTCTGATGTGTGTTACTTAGACCCTCTCTCTTCTCCCATCTTTTTTACATTACTGCTCTCATCTAAGCCTTATTTTTCCCCTCATGGCTTTTCTTGTGTATTATTTTCTGGGTGATCTGCATTCCTTTGTTTCACGTATCATAGAACCGTAGAATGGCCTGGGTTGCAAAGGAGCTCAGTGCTCACCCAGTTCCAACCCCCTGCTGTGTGCAGGTCGCCAACCAGCAGCCCAGGCTGCCCAGAGCCACATCCAGCCTGGCCTTGAATGCCTGCAGGGATGGGGCATCCACAGCCTCCTTGGGCAACCTGTTCTAATATCTGGGAGCTGGCTTATTCCTCAGCCTATTCCATGCTCAGTGTTACTTATGAGTATGCACACATATTTTCAATGGCCCAATCCTTTTCTTACCACTTTACCCCCATTTTTGCACCTGTTCCTGCCTGGCTTTGCTGTCTTACTGAAATCTCTGCAGGTGGTGTTGTGCCACTTGTTTGGAAGGCTAACCTGGCTCTCTGATTAGCTTGTTTATCTCGTACCTTTGAAAGCTAATAAGGCAGTCATTTTTGTTTTCCCCTTCACAGGAATTAAGTAACATGTTTCAAGGCCCTGTCTTCCATGTATAAAGTTCACCTGTGCTGCAGGAGGGATGTGCCTGTTCTCTTACATCTCATGGTCAGCTCCTTGAAATATGTGCTGCAGAGCAGCTGTCTCGCTCTGCTTCTCCCTAATGAACTGGAGTACTTTTTTATGCTTGATTAAGCTAGCAGGTCAATTATAAACACAAGGCCTGCCCAGCTGGCATTGTGCTGATACTGGTGTCTGTTGATACCTTTTTGCCATTGGCTCACGCATCACTGCTCCAAGCATTTAGCTGCCAGTGCCTTTGCTTTGGGGCTGGGACTGTGAAGTATTGGTTTCAAGTAAAGTCAGGTTCTGTTCTGTTCTCACAAGGACATGTTGATTACACTTCTTCAGGAGCAGGGAGTCTGTGATGTGAGAAATGAAGCTCAGAAATAGATCTGCAGCACTCAGGATGGGATGGTCCTCACTCCAGTGCAGCCTCTGCATTAGGCAGGATTCCTTTGTTAGGGCTGATTGCTGCAGTGTTATGAGGACCCTTTCTAAATCTTGGTATATTTTGCCATGTTGTATCACCAGGAATCTCCTGGGGAGATGTTTATGCTCTGGGTGATATATAACACTTCTCTTTGCTTGAAGTCGCAGCAATATTCACACAGAAATTTTCTTAAGTAAATGTAAATAATAGTTCCATCTGTGTTTAGTAGAAAGATTATTTTAAGCTATTTTGTTGTTTAAATATTTACATGCCATCTGGCTTTGGCAATTCAGTGGGTTTTTTCATAACTTGAGTGCACTTCTGAGGCTGCAGCATTACCACGAGATAAATTTCCCTTACATCTGAATCCTCTCTTTGCCACTTTGGTCCTCTGCCAGAATCTGAAGCCAGCTTGTTGGTTTCCTATTTTCCATAAGCACTCTGAGCCAAAAAGAGCAGCGTCTTCTCTGCCATTCTCCCTTTGGGTGGTCAGTTTGAGAGAGATGTTGCAGCTCATCTCCTGCAACTGAGTCTCTTATGAGTGTGGAAGCAGAGCATTCAAATTTAATACAGGTTGGTAACATCCACTAGTGTTTCTGAAGTCTGCATTTTCTTTAGTTATACTCTGCTTCAGCAGATACGAGCGACTAATCTGTCACCAGCATCATGCTTCAAATGTTTGCTAGAAATAGCCATCAGAAGTTTGCTTATCAAAATATTCCTCTAACACCGTAAGATCCCCGAGGCCGCCTCAGAGAGCGCTTTTCGTGCTTCCTTTCAAAGCTGTGATTCTGTCTTTATGTATTTTACTTTGTTGGTTGTTTTTTTTTTTTTGTCCCTGCTGCAGGATTGGATTGAGGGCAGAAAACTTGTTTAGGAGCTCTCGTATGGCTTAAAATAAGCTTCTCTGCCTCAGTCTTGTGTTGTAATAGGATTTGATTGAGATTTTTCTTTTCATTGAAGTTCGGGGCTTCCTTCATGAACAGTTATGTGGAAACTGATGTTCCTGGTAGAGGAGCAGGATTTCTTCTCTTGCATTCTGTCTTCTGTACACACGTTGCCTGCTCATGTTTTGCTTTTCTCTTTGTCTGTCCCTGTTTTTGCCCTTTTCGGTGTTATCTGTAAATGACTTCTCGGGTGATTTACTCTCCTGTCCTATCTGCCTTGCAGCTTTTGGCCTCCACTAGGAGAGATTATGAGAAGATTCAAGAGGAACTCACCCGTCTTCAGATTGAGAATGAAGCTGCAAAAGACGAAGTGAAAGAAGTCCTTCAAGCCCTGGAAGAACTAGCTGTCAATTACGACCAGAAATCCCAAGAAGTGGAGGACAAAACAAGAGCCAACGAGCAGCTGGCTGATGAACTGGCACAGAAGAGTGTAAGAGCAGGCAGTTTATAGTGCTGCTTCCCTCCTCCCTCCTGACTCTGCATCTCTCCCAAAGATTCCCATAGATTTCCCTCATAATTATTAGCTTGTGCCATTTTGGGAAGCTTTCAAATGCTGCTGGCAAGTATGTTTAATAACTAGTATAAAGATTGGAGCAACAAAGTTAAAAGATCTGTGCTTGCTGGTGCTACCTTCTATCTTGTGTATTAATTAAAGGATACGATAAAGCTAATTCAGAAGCTGCTATACGAAAGCTGATTGCAGATTGTGTCTCTGTTGCAAGCTCTGTATTTTGCACACCATGTCAGCTCCTGAGCTGAATGTGAGAACTGGCCATTTTGTGTTTTGATCATTTCAAAGCGATATTGTACCAAGAAAGATGTGAAAACCTGCTGTGTGCAAATTGCAGTTCAGTTTGTATTTCTCTGGGCTGTGTGCTGTGGAACAGAGATCTCAAACAGAGTAAGGGAATCTTAGAAAAATAAAATAGCTTTCTTCAGATGATGTATTGATTTTAAGGCAAAAAATCCAATCTGAGAAAAATCCAAATTGGCTTAACTAGGTTGGTCCATCCCTCACACATACCGAGGAGGACGTTGTTAAGATGTCTGATTTCATGCATATCTAGCATTATAAGACTTTGTTATCCACTTTAATAAAACAGATTACTATGAAATCCATTTGAAAAAATTGAATTTTATATCTTCTATACCTGTTTCTCCGTGATTAACCTCCTTTGACATGTATTATGCAAATAAGATTCTTACGGGATTTACTACATTTAAAGGATCTAAAGTAGCCTTGTTAGCAAGTGAGTTGTGAAAGTGGATTATGGCAAGGTGGAATTGTGTGCTGCTGGAGTAGGTGTCAGTGCATGGAGCCAGCAGACACGTCCCAGGAAAATATAAGGCAGTACTGTGTAACCTAGATATCACGGAAGAACTGATGCCCTAAAGTGGCACTATTGAAATGCACTGAAGCAGGGAGAAATCTATAGAAGCACAGTTAACTCCCAGCTTCATCTCTGCTGCTTTATTCAAGCAAAGAGATTTGGGATGGTGAATTGTTTGGTGGATTTATCGTGTACAGAGAAGAAAATCTGTTTTATTTTGTTCCGTGAGGTTTCTGTATGGATAGAGAGAATCTGAGGAAAGAAGGGTAACTTTTGCTTTTCAATCTTTCCAGACGGTTCTGTCAGCAACCCAGAGGGAGCTGGGCCAGCTGCAGGAGCTCAGTAACCATCAGAAGAAGAGAGCCACAGAAATCTTAAACTTGCTGCTTAAAGACCTGGGAGAGATCGGAGGGATCATTGGCACTAATGATGTTAAAACAGTAAGTTGGCTGTCTTTATTGCTTCCCCCCAACCTGTACCTCCTGCCATATGAAAATAAGGAGCATGGAGTGTGTGTGACACAGCAGCCCTTCTCCCAGGACGTTTAAATCCTGGTTAGAGCACAGTGTAAAACACTGAAGAGATCTTTGTCTGGGACAGAGATGGTCAGTGTCTGTGCACATAATTACCACACTGACTCCCAGCTCAGTGTTTGGGGCCAAACTAATGCAGCCCATCTGTGTGCTGATGCATCTATTAAACTCCTCTGTCTGAGGCCTGGGCTGGGTTCTCTGTCCAAACAATGCACACATAGACCTACTCCATAGTTAGCTGGCAGGAGCAAGTATTCCCAGAATCTAAATAATCATTACTGGAGAGATTTGGCTTCTGGGTAGCTTCCTTTTTGTTTGAAATTTATCCTAAAACTGCGTGCAGGTGAACTTGAACAGCTCTGAAATCCATACTTCTGTAGTGTCAGCTGTCCAGGACACCTGAGTGAAGGAAGAGATCTGCATGGAAACCTTTTACTCATTGTTTCTTACCTTTGAACAGTGGCTGCCTTCACCAAAGAGCCCATGCTTTTGTTCTTCTTTAGTTCTTTTAGAAGCATTTTCAGCATTAGTAAATTTGTGCTATGTGCCATTTAAATACTACATGACACTAGGACAGGATTAACTTTTGTGTATTGGCAAATAGCCTTCCTAGAGGATTCTTTTCCTCTGAAGTTGGAAGGCAAGGACGAGGGGTGCAGGTTGTTGAAGCAGTAGAATCCTTGGTATCTGAACATATCTGGAGATGGTGTGAATTTTGGTCAGCTTTGCTTTGAAATTTGTCTTCTGTCAGGCTCTTGGCTTTACAGATCTGATAGAGAAGGTAGATGTTCACACTGATATGCTTACAATATCATAGCTGAACAAAATTCTAAACCTCAGAGACTATTTGACATGGTCAGTGCTAAATGCTGCTGCCTTGTGTTCATGCAGATCCTGGACCACGGGACCAAATTTTGCTAGATGTTACAGCAACCTCTGGTGGCCGTTTTAATAAGAACTGTAAGAAGAAATCTCTGCAAATGGAGGCTGTTCGATACACATTTTTATAGCAACTAAGATGTCAGCATTTTGCAGGGCAGCTGTCTGTAAATAAGGCAAGATTGAAAAGGTTTTAGATGAATAATTTGAAATTTGTTGGCAATCAGCAGCTTCTCAAAGTATGTCTAATTTCAGACCAGACTGAGGGCTTTGAAGGCAGTAACATTTTTTGGGCCATTCGAAGAAGGCAGAGCACATGTTGTCTTCCCTTTGCTGCTAGAAAAAAGGCAAAACCAGATGAAATTACTGTCCATACACTTAAGAAGAATCTTTACAGCTCATCAGTGTGTTACATGAATTAAGAAGCTGAAGGAAAATCATGAAGAGAAAGACATAAAAATCAAAGGCACTCTATTAACCAAGGAAGGAAGTGATGTTAAATAGGATGGTATTAATGATTAGAGATGAAGGGGATTAATTTGCTCTTGCCAGGTAAGATTTTCAGACCAATGTCTGTGTTGTAGGCTGCTACTGAAGGAGCACAGCCATTCAAGAGCAGATTTCTTTAAGAAGCATTTTGAAAATGTTCTCCAGCTTCCAGTTGCTTGTAAGAAGGAAAATGTCCTCTTCTGGTGACGTGAGAAAGTTTCTCCAAAATATGCTTTTGGCATTCTGGTGGAGCTGATTACTTCAGATGCTGATGAAGCACACTGTGACAAGTCTTAATTTCTTATTTTTGAGGCTTGTCAATGAAAGCTCAGACAAACAGAGTGGTAGAGCATGTTTAAAGGTAACAGGAAGGTCTGTGGGTGTTCCTTCAGTGTGACTGTGCTCTCACAAAGGTTATCTAGCTCCAGACAACTGTTTCTCAGCAGGAAAACTGCTTTACATTGATTTCCATAAGGACCACACCTTTTAGACTGCAATCTTCCGTGTGTTTAGTTAGCAGATGTGAACGGGGTGATTGAAGAGGAGTTCACCATGGCACGGCTTTACATCAGCAAGATGAAGTCTGAGGTGAAATCTCTGGTGAACCGCAGCAAGCAGCTGGAGAGTGCCCAGATAGATTCCAACAGGAAAATGAATGCCAGCGAGAGGGAGCTTGCAGCTTGCCAGCTCCTCATTTCACAGGTATGTCTGCTCCTTCCTTGTTCCCTCCAAGCAAGGTTTGATGATTTTCTCAGCCTCCTTCCTCATGAGATGTGTGTGCTGGGAGTGAGAAATGAGAATTCAGGGAGAATAGAGGTGTTTCTCTCGTCTGTTCTGTTGTTTGTTCCTCTTGTTTTGCATTCCTCCCCTCAGCGTTTTACAGCACATTCTGTGGTAAGATTCTGTCCTCCTGTTGTAGATTTCAAAATGTTTTCAATGCCATAATAGTGAAAATGCTCTTGGATGGATTTCCTCAGCATGTTTTTGCATCTTGTGCCTCCTCTTAGAAAGCAAACTGACAAAGGAAGCAGTGACTGTATGGGTCTCTAACAAAGCATTTGGAGAGCCCCAACATCTGGACTGTCAGTATGCTAACAGATAGCTGGGCAGCAACATGCATGTAATAATACATTATAGAAAACGTGACCGTGTAAGATAGAAATCCAGATGGTAGGAGGGCTTTGCAGTGGGTGGCATGTTCCAGGCAGTGATGCATGCTGCTGCATTCTGCAGAGAGGGGGCTAACTGCTTCACCGTGCTTCTTTGATTACTGCACACATGAAGTGGTGGAGACAGTTGGAGTTTACTCCGTTTCTCTTGCTAGCAGTTACTCAAAGAAAACCTGGAGCAAGGATAGCCTCTTGTCCTGAAGTAGAACTTCTCTATTCGGGTCTGCAGTAATAGCTGTAAGCGTGTTTCTTAGTATTCAAGGAAGGCTTGAATCCTGAAAGCATTGGCTGTCCAAAAATGTTAAGTAAAATTACACTTTTTATGCTGTCTTAAAGTGGATCCAGCCACTAGAAGTCACCCTGCCAATCTGTGTTGCTCCCTTTCCTTGGGAACTTGGCATTAGTAAAGCAGATGAAGGTTTGCCTCGAAAGCAGCTATATGCATACTTCTGCTGGCTGAAAGAGGATTGGCAGCACAGAGCTGGGAATGAGTATCAGCAGTGGGCTGCTGGGACATTTTCCTTCAGCTGTGGTGTTGGCTTATGCTGACCCAGTGAAGGAGCATGTTAAGTGGAAGCCAGATTGTCTGTCTGTGTGGGGTTGGTGTTCTTCTTAGACCTCCTTCTTAGGAGGTTTACTATTTGAGTGACTTATCCAAGGCTGTGAAAAGATGCAGTGAAAGAAGTGAGACTGCAAGGCTACATCCTTTTTTTTTTTCCCCTCCCTATATTTGTATTGCATTTCAACATGGTGATGAAGCCAAACAGAGATACTCTGAAGCAGGTGATCACCTTGCCTTGCCATTTTGGAAGCCCATCTGTTTTTAAGCCTAGGAAGAAGCTAGGTGTTATGCTCAAGGTGTTGTGGGAGGGCATACACCTTATCTATAAAGTGAAAATTTATTGTTGGCTTAATTTAAATCTTAACAGCCCATTTATTAGGCTAGGCCTAATTACTGAAGAGAGAAAAGAAATAATTTGATGCAGAAAGACTTCTAGTGACAACAATGATGCCATTAAAATTGTCACACACATTTCTTTAGTTTCTACCTTTTTTCTTAATGTTATACCCAACCTTCTGCTGCTGTTAAGTTTGGTGGTTTCATGCTGACATTGCTGGTGTGGATGTGACAGCAAGCACTGTCAGTATCTGGAGCACTTTGCTGAGAGAGATAGGTTTATGTTGCTGATTCTTCTTCCTTGCTTCCTTCTAGGACTCAGCTGGAGTAATTTTGTATGTTTGCTAGCATTCTTTTACACCTTGCTATTTCTTGACTGATCTGCAGCTCCATATTACAGCTGAACTTACTGTGTATGGGGCCTTTTACATTGTCTCTTTCCTGTTCCCTCTGCCTTTAAAGCATGAAGCAAAGATCAAGTCCCTGACAGACTACATGCAAAACATGGAGCAGAAGAGAAGGCAGCTGGAAGAGTCCCAGGATTCTCTCAATGAGGAGCTTGCCAAGTTACGTGCTCAAGGTACAACGTTGGTTCCTGTGGTCATCATTTCTTTTAACAGCTGTATCTTAGAAAATGCAGTTTTGAACAAAGTATTCTACATACAGCTCACCTGGCACTGCTGCAGCATTTGATTTTTCAATCCTACTCTGCTTTTGTCATACCTGTATTCCCATTGGCACAGAAATCCAACTAAACAGATGGGATTTTAGCTCACTTACCAGGCTCTAAGCTCTGCAAATGCGCAGTGACAGCAGACCTGATGTCACAGGGTCAAGCTCTGATGTTGAGCTGTTGCCTTGGTAGTCCCACAGCACTTTTTGTCTGCTTGTATTTTGCAGTGAAGTCATAAAATTGTGATTCAGATCATTTCATGTGTTGCACCTGTACATTACACTCGAGGTAATGCTTTCAGCCTAACCCATTCACAGAATGCAGAGAAACTTAATTTTTCAAAAGAATTAAAAGCTTGGCAAGAAGCTTCACCTTTTACTTTCATGATGTGAGGAAAAAAAAATGCATCAAAAGCAATCAATCTTTTGAATGTTTGTTTTGGAAATTCTCAGCTGTCCGTCCAGTTTCAGTTGTCTCTCTGGAAAGTGCCCTGCCCCATTCATTAGGAAGATGCTTCCATTAGGATTGAGTAGAAGTTTCTCTCGTGGCTGCTCTATAGGATCCAACTGACTTCATTTTTAAGAGTTGTTTTTTTTTTTCCATTCTAATTCAGCGTGGAAAATTTCTGTCAAAAGGACTTCTTCTTGCTTTGCCAAGCTCCTGTTTTATGTATAATTACAGTGTAGCCTTAGAATTACTCTGGATTTCTGTGCAGGGGCTGTTCTCTGACTCTGGGAGCAGCAGATGGTGACAGGATTTTTAACATCTGCGTGGTTTTTTATTCACACATCTCATCTTCCCACCCCACTCACAAGAAATGATCTGTCTCTGGAGGCCAGCATTGCCCAGCAGAAAGGGGAGAGGGAGGATCCCTAAGGCAGAGTCATAGGAGATGAGGGGAGGTTGGGAAAGTGCTGTGTGAGCTGTTAGTAACAGCAGCAGGGTTTGGACAGTGGTCACACGTAGGGTATTGGAAAACAATGGCTGTGTCTGCCCCTCCAGAACAGTCTCACCATGATCTTGCTGCCTGCCTTGCAAGCAACACTTGTTCTTTTTACATGGCTTGACATAGAGATGATGTACGATTGGTTGGTTAACTCTCAACTGTCTCCAACTTCAAACAGAAAAAATGCATGAAGTCAGTTTCAAAGATAAGGAGAAGGAGCACCTGACCCGGCTTCAGGATGCAGAAGAAATGAAGGTAATGTCGTGTGCTGCAATATTGGAGTTGATTTCTTGGTGAGATCATTCATTAGCTGATAATTAGAGTGTGATTTTGTCTTCCTCTTGTGTTGTGTGCTTTTAAAAGAACTTTCTGCCTCTGTCAGAATTGCTGGCTTCTGTTAGAAAACCTGATCTTAGAATTGAGTGACCTTTGCAGTTTGAAATTAGAGAACTTGCTGGTACTGAGGCTGGTGGCCAGATGAAGGAAAAAGAAGACACTCACCTCAAATACTGAGGCTGTAACTGAGACCAGTTTGTCTGCTGAACCAGCTTCAGAGAGTACAGAGGTGTGGTGCACTGTGTTTGCTTGAGTGGAGCTGATTTGGAGACCCAGCATCCATGGTTGAGAATCATTTTGTTAGGTATGGCTGAAAAAGGATTCACCTCTGTGTCACTCTGATATTTGCCATTTAGGAACTAAAATTTAATGAAAATGAAGCCAGACCATTTTACCAAATGGTTTGGCAAAAGTATCTCATAGAAATAATAATGACATACAAACCTGTTTTCTGATAATTTCTCCTTTCTGTAGAATGCAAAGAAGAAATATTAGGAAATGATGAGCTGGTAGTGCTTCTGATGAGATTACAAGTTGTGCAGAAGAAAAATACAGTTTTACAAAGATGGTGGTAGAGGTTTGTCAGCTGGAGAATTTCTACCTCCGTTATAAAAAGTTAAGGTTAAAACAGCTGTGAAGTTATTCCTTACATTTGTAAGAAGAACATTAGTCACTGATCAGCAATTTAAAGTGAGATGCATTCAGTTTTTTTCTTACAACTTGAAATGTATCTAACCATACAATTTAAATAACAGGGCTGTGGCTAAGCAATCCAGAAAGATGGGTTAATTTAGATGATAGATAAAAAGCAACCTTAGGTGTGTTACTTGATTTCTGTTTCACTATGGCTTTGCATTTTGTGCTCTGCAGAAGGCACTGGAGCAGCAGATGGAGAGTCACAGGGAAGCCCATCAGAAGCAGCTGTCCAGGCTGAGAGATGAAATTGAAGAGAAGCAGAAAACAATCGATGAAATCAGAGAGTATGTTCACTCACTGTCACTTTTTGTGCTCCTGTATTGCTCTGTGACACTACAGGACTATTTTTTGGTTGGTTTTATTAGCTTTGATTGATATCTCTGTACATCAGAGCCTCAGGGAAAGTTGAAAGTATCCTTACATACAACAGCTATGTCACAGACCCCAGTGTATCTTGTTTTCACATTCATGGTATTTCTTTGTGACACAGGAATATAACTGTTAGATACCCTCCTGTTTAGAAAGGCTTTAAGGTTTCTTTTTACTGTTGTGCTCTTATTTTTGAAGTGTTCACAAAATCTGAGCAATCCTGATTTCGCACTCCTGTCCATATTTATAGTGTGGGTAAATAACAGTAGGGAAATGAGAAAGCAGAACAGAAAGAATGCAAGAACAATGTGTCCTTTAAGATAAGACAAACGAGGCAGAAGAGTATATGGCTGACTTTAATATTCCAATATTTTAAAATAAAAGCTGTTGGTTTTCAGATTCGTTAGCCTTAATTTCTTCCAGAATTTTACAGCAGAATCACTTAGTTCTGTTTATGGAAACTGAACTGCATATTTGTGGCCTTCAGGACTGAGCTGTTCAGACCTTTTGTTGTTTTTTTCTTTTTGTTCTAGTATGAATCAGAAGCTCCAACTGGAACAAGAGAAGCTGAGTGCTGATTATGATAAATTGAAAATTGAGGACCAGGAGAGAGAAATGAAACTGGAAAAGCTCATGTAAGTCAACAGTTTTCTCACCTGGTGTCCCTGAATCTGGTCTCTTTTAATGTGTGTGCAGGAAACATCCTGGTGGGAAGCAATTGTGTTGAAACATTCATGCTGAAAATAGCATTTCAGTAGCAACGCCAACATGCAGTAGAAATGAATGATTACTAATTACTCCTTTTTTTAAGTTTTAGGCTTTTTAACAGTAGATTTGATGCTTTCTGAAAAGGTGTTTTAGAGCTTCAATTTTATGAAATATCATGGCAAATCTTAAATCCCCCATTTCTTAACATGCGGGAAAAAGAATAATTGTAAAACATTTTTGATTTGATGTTTAATGTTGTGATCTTTTTAGATTGCTTAATGATAAAAGGGAACAAGCAAGAGAAGATCTTAAGGGGCTGGAGGAAACAGTGGTATGTCCTGTTTACAAGTTACTGAGTTTTTTTTCCCTATGTTTTCCCTGTGTTTTCATCACTGATGTGTAACCAAAACACTTGCATTGGTGCTTATGAAAACGACTGATTTATATCAGATAAGTTCTTTAAGTTCTTTACCATGAGAGTGGTGAGGTGATGGCACAGACTGCCCAGAGAGGCTGTGATGCCCCGTCCATCCCTGGAGGTGTGCAAGGCCACATTGGATGGGCCCTGGGCAGCCTGGGCTGCTGTGAAATGGGGAGGTTGGTGGCCCTGCTGTGGCGGGGGGTTGGAGATTTGTGATCCTTGAGGTCCCTTCCAACCCAACCATTCTGTGATTCTGTGATGATCCTATGAAGCTAAGTCTGTGCACTTCCCAAATCATGAAATTGAATTCTGAGTTCTAGGTAAAATGCTACTGTTGTAGTCCCCTGTGAGTAAGCTATCACTGCTGAGGCTATAGCATTGTGTTCTGCTGCCCTTCTTCCTTGAAAGCACACGAAGTGACCAGTGTGTTGAATACAGGGTAACTACACCCAAATGATGCATACCTGCCTCTCACTTGGCCTGTGCAATGGCTTGTAAAGGAATCTGATATTGTGCATGCAATGTTAAAATTGCAATCTAACATGGGCAATTTCAGTCCTGAAGATGCTGTGCAGTTTGGTTGGAAGCTACCTTTTTACCTGTCTGTAAAATATGCCAGCTTTCTCAAAGATCTCACAGGTTGGTCTGTTTCAGTAGCATGGCATTTATTTTTGCTAGTGGTAGTTTGGTTGTAAACTCAAATGCAGTGCCTTTTCTGCTCTGTGTAATGCTTCAAAATTAAGCTTGACCTCAGGATCAGCTGGAGTTCATTACATGTAAAAATCCAAAGCCATACTAATTGTGTTTGTACAACTTGGGCTCCTCTTGGCTCCCCAAGCCATAAGCCTTATTTATTTAAAATCCTGTAAGGAGGAGAGTTAATCAGCCTTTCTTACATGACTTGTGTTCATCAGACTCCTGCACTGCTTGCACATTGGGAAGACTTAATTAACCCTGTACACCAAATGGTCAAGGCAGCTGGAAGTCAGGCAGTATGGTGATCCAGGCATGGGGCTCTGTAGGCATTGGCTGGCATTTGGGTGGTGATTTTGGGGAAGGGATGGAGAACAGTTTCTGTGGGGCCACATCTGCTGCCCTGGCAGTGACTTGTGCTCCTTCCCACTGCTGAGCTGATACAGAAACAAGATGAGGGGGCTCGTTGGAAGGAGTTATGGGTTGGAGGTCTGCTTGAGCAGCAAAGCTGAATGCCAGCTCTCTGGGAGGCTTCTGTTCTGCACCTCTGTTGTTTAGAATGGCACACTGTGCATCTTCTGATTACAGAATAATTCCTAAATGAGCCGTGCATATACTGTACAGTTTCTACTCATTCTGTAGTCCATAGAAGAAACGTCTCATTTTTGGCATATACTCAGTTGTAATTTTCTCTTTTCAGAGATAGAGACAAGAAATTTGAGTTTTTAACAGCTTGTAGACATGGTGGTGCTCAAAGTGTGATTAATTTACATTCCAGGATATGAACAGATAAGCGTGAAATGGAAAAGCTGAGGTTGCACTTAGCAACTTTGGAGAGAGAGTTCTCTTTAACATGGTTTTGGTGAAAATGGCATCGAGGTGAACTTGATTTTCCAGAAAGCTTCCTTTCCTGAAAATGATGTAGCATTTTTGTTTTGGAATGGGTGCAGGGTTGCTCCATCTCATGTCTTGTATTCGGTCTGCAGTAAGGTCATTATTTTGCTGAGCCAACAAGTTGATATATAGAAAAAGCTGGGAAAACCTGGATTTTTGCCAGAGCTTAAAAGGCACTTTGAGATCTTAAGTACCTATGATTAAGCACTCAGACCCAGTCAGTGAGTTGGCTACTCAGTGAATCCAAAGTCACATAGCTAGAGATGTGTAACCATGGCCAGTTTGTTAGACTTGTGGCTTTGGTGTTGCAGACAGCATATGGCAATACATGGGAAAGAGAAAAAGTGGATGCCCTGTTATTCTGTGAGCAGCTTGATTGTAGGCTGCTTGAACAGCCAATGCGTGTACCAGGCAGGAGCATCCCTGTAAGGACATCACATTAAAGTCATGTTATCTACATAAATTTGCAGAGGTGTCTTTGTTTTATTTAAAACCCCAGAATGCCTATTGTCTACCTTAGTGATTTATATTTGTTTTTTTTCTCATGTAAATTGATTCTAGGCAAGAGAACTTCAGACTCTTCATAACCTACGCAAACTGTTTGTACAAGATCTCACCACTCGTGTTAAAAAAGTAAGAATGCACTCCTGTCATCCAATATAATGCAATCCACTGTGCATGTAATTACAAAATGGAATATTTTTTTCAATATCAATGAGCAATAGCATTAAGACTGTCCTGATGGTTATCCAGGCTTTGGCTCTTACTGGGTCTTAATGACAGGTCTTGGCAGTTAAGGGAAGTTCCTGCATTTTGAGAGATGGTATAATGGGTAGCAGAAACTGCTCAATGTAATTTGCACTCATGTGTGCTCTGCTGAACGCTGTGACTTTGTGACTTTATCATCCTGTGGCTACTTGGCCTTTTCCTAGCAAAATTATCATGTGGCCAGAGACGAGTTTCTTAGCAGAAATTCAGGTGTTTTTAACTGTCGAATCAGAGTAAAAAGTTGCACTCAGCCACTCAGCTCTTTAGAGTGGCTTTGGGGAAGCGGGTGTTACTACTGTTTATTTGTTAAAATTGAAAAGCCACATATGGTGAAAATGTTACCTAGATCTAGAGAAAGGGATATTCTTTCCCCCCCTGAAGTCTGTGATTCTGTTCAGGAATCCATGGATTGTTCAATAAGAATATTTCATTTTCTGTGTGGAGAGCAATACGGCCCCTAAATATCAAATGAACAGGTGAAATAACTTCTCTTTAATTTGGGACTCAGGAAGGCTTTTCGGTCTTTGGCAAACTTACATTCCAAAATACCTGAGCTTCCTCTTGAGTTTCTGCATGGTTTTGCTGAACTCTGGAACTCTCTGTGCAGAGCGTTGAGCTTGACAGTGACGATGGAGGCGGAAGTGCTGCGCAGAAGCAGAAAATTTCCTTTCTTGAGAACAACCTGGAACAGCTTACTAAGGTTCACAAACAGGTAGGAGCTTCACTTCCTTCCAGTGCCTGTTTTGCTATTAAATCAAAAGCCATTGTGCCTTTTTCATTGACTTATAGTAATTTCACCCATAGGAAAAACTGCACGTGTAACGCTGTTCTCTAGTATTACCAATTACATTCTTTTCCCCCCAAATAATATTTTTATATGTTTAAGAGAATAATTTTTGAAGCTAATATGTAGGTACTGTTTAAGGAAATGGTACCTATAGTTCTCAACTGAAGTTGTTGGCACTAGGACTACACCTACTTACTGGAATGTTGTTGTGGTCTAGCCCTGGCAGGCAGCTCAGAACCTCACAGCCGCTCGCTCAATCAGTGGAATGGAGGAGAGAAGCAGAAAGGTAAAAGTGTGAGAATTGTGGGTTGAGATAAGGACAGTTTCATAGGTAAAGCATAAGTTGCTTGCGCAAGCAAATCTAAGCAAGGAGTACATTCAGCTCTTGCCATCAGCAGGCAGATGTTCAGCCACTTCCAGGACAGCAGGGCTTATCACATGTACCTTGGGAAGACACAGGCATCACCCTGAACATCTATCCCCCCTTTCTCCTCCTTCACCCCAGATTTTATTGCTGGAAATAGAGGTTTTCTGTGCAGCTTAAGGGCTGGTGCCTCCCCAGGGATGCTGAGGCTGGCCATTTCTGGGCATGATGATTTCCATCTCTTCCCTATTTTTTAAGAGCTTCTGTTTCCTTTGGATGTCTGCTTTTCAGAGCAACAAGAGCCCTTCACTGTGGGTGCCAGCCCAACAAGTGGGAGGTGTAGGGGTGTGCTATAGGCAAGCATTTGGGTATGGATCAAGGAAAGAACTCTCTGCTTACCTGGAAGTCTAAATACTAACAGTGTGTATATGGGTATATCTATCTTAGTAGGTAAAACTAGATCATTTCTGCCAGTAAGTTTCCACCCTCTTATAAGATGTCAGTTTTATTGAACTGTATCCCACATCTCAGATGCAGAGTACAAAGTAGTAGAAGAGGCTTCTGGTTTCATTTATGAATTCTAACATTGCATTCTCAATTGCAGTTTTCTGAAACTGTTAGAGAGACACAGTGCTCTCCAAGATTTGCTTTATTTATTCCTGTAGAAATGCCAAAAATGCAAGCAGTGCTGGACTGTGACAAGTGTCCATTAAGGTTCAGTATTTCAAGATTCCTGCTTAACAGATGGCTTAAAGACCTAGTTTCTAAATGTGGAAATCAGGACATGTTAATAATGTTTTTTTTTTTTGTTTCACTCTATTGCCTTTTCTTGCATTCTGTTCATATTTCTGCTAGTCGTTCAGATTTTTATAGCTCTCATTAATGTATATTTACTCAAAAACAACTGAGGAGTTCATGTCTCATAAGAAACTTAAATAAAAAATGACATTGGGCTTGACCTGAATAGGAGATCATCCTGCACTTATTCCAAATCAGAGCTGTTTGGTAGAACACGTGCTCGACACTTTCAGCAAAAGCACACTGTGACAATTTTTATTTTTATTTTTAGCTTTGCTTGTGTTTTTCTTTTGGCACTCAGCCTCGACTAGCAGGTGTAAAATGTTGTGTTTGTGAAACTGTGTGAATGTTATTGCATGCTGTTGCTTTGCTGTATTATTTATACGGCAGTGAAACCATTTTCTTCCCTTTACTTCAGAAAGGGGAATATCATTTTTTGGAACAGTTATCAGTTGATGTTTAGTAATGGTATAATTGTTCTGTAGAAATTGTACTGTGTTTTTTTTTAACCAACAATCTGTATCAGTTTTTATTTATCTAAAAATCAGTCTGCCTCCTTGACTACGGTTGAATACAACGTTAGATATTATTCTGATGAGCAGTAGAGCTTGTTCAGCTTCACAATCAAGGAAGTCTGTGAATTTAAAGTATTGTCATCACCGTGTTTATGGTTATAGGCCTTAAGGTGAATTCTTAGCAATGGATGAGGAACAGAAAGTTTCTACTTCTCCCTAATGCTTGAATAGTGAACAAGAAGGTAAACATGCCCTGACCACTGGCAATGGTGAATTCTTGGCCATACCAAGTATTGTCTGTAAGCTGTGTTTAAGCACTGTGGTTTTTAAGCAATGCAGTGATCAAGTACCTGTGAAATGCCAGACATGTCTGCATGCTGAGAAATGCAGTTTCTGGCTGAGTTGCTCTGAGGGTCTGGAAATTTGGTTGTTGCTGTAGTGCCCTGCAGGGTTCTTCCAGAGCCTTCTACCTTCAGAGTCATGTGTGAAATCGTGTTCTTTGATCTCCCTGTTGAATGATTGGTAGCTCAGCTGGACAAATAACCAGCATGATTAATAGGAAGAGAAAATGTTTCTTTGGCATAAGCTTTTCACAGGCGTTTCTGGAGGAAACCTGTTTCTTTCCTTCACGGTGTGCAAGTTGTGAAGAGGAATAGTGGTGATTTCTGTCTCCTTGTAAGATGACCTTTGCTGTGGTTTCTCATGGGGTATTTTTGAACCTTCTCTTCTTGCAGTTGGTACGTGATAATGCAGATCTTCGTTGTGAGCTTCCTAAGCTGGAAAAACGACTTAGAGCTACGGCAGAGAGAGTTAAGGCCCTGGAGAGCGCACTGAAGGAGGCCAAGGAGAACGCCATGCGAGACCGCAAGAGGTACCAGCAGGAGGTGGATCGCATTAAGGAGGCTGTAAGAGCCAAAAACATGGCACGGAGAGCACACTCTGCTCAAATCGGTAAGGAGGTGTTGCTCAGGGGTGAGCGATTGCTCACACACTTCGTGGTTGATTTGTTTGCTCATTTTTGAAAGAAAAGAGCTTTGAAAGCAGGAGTCTGGGGCAAACCTCAGGGTCTGCTTCTCCTCTGTTGCACAAGCAGCTTCAAAGACTTCACTTTTCCATAGAATATGCCCCACCTCAAGTGTAAAGTGCCTTTGCTATTTAGCTCAGTAAATAAATGGCATAATGGGTCTTGTGTGCCGTTCTAATGACCTGAAAAAGTGTCTCTTTAAATTAGTCTCTCACTTTCTTCCTGCTCCCCCTCCTGCTTCTGTTCTTCCTTTCAGCTCCTTCCTTTCCTTTTCCGATTACTACTCCTTGTGCTTTCATTTGGGCTGTGTAGAGTCAAATATTCCTGTATAATGCAGATGCTGGGTATATCTCTGTGGTACAATCTGAATTCATGCATGCAATCAAGTAGTGTTCAATATAGGAACTTTTCAGGTGGCAATTTTTGAAATGATTTCTTGGAATTGATAAGATAATTTATTGCATGGTGGTGGTAACATTGGTGCCTTAAAACCAGAGGAAAAAATTAGCAGGCAGTGTTTCCTGCCTTATGCAGCCTCTCCTAAAAAGCCATTATCAGTTCTGTCTCTGCTTCTTCTGGAATTACATTAGTAGCCATGGTAGGAAACTGGACGCAGAAAGTACATCTGTGACCACCAAATGAGTCTTGACTTTTCTGTGCTGTACAGACAGCCCTCAATCTTTGTAGAGATGACAGGCATGCTTGAGACGGTCAGAGAACTCTATCACAAACAGAAAAGCAATGTATTTGTTGTTGGCCAAGGTAAGGGAACACTGTGTTCCTGATTACAGACTAAACTGACAAGCAGTTTCTCTCCCGTTAATGATGGTTTTTGTACTAAAAGATAAGGTGAGGTAAAATCCTGTTGGAAAAAGCTAATTGTGTTGTTTGGTTTCCTGCTTTCTCTGCAGCCAAGCCCATCCGCCCTGGTCATTACCCAGCGTCGTCTCCAACAGCTGTCCATGCCATCCGAGGGGGAGGGATGTCCAACTCCAGCTACTATCACAGCACCAAATAGATGAGAAGTAAGACCAAAGACCCAACTGTTCTTGCACTGCTCACCACTTCTATTTTGCTTCTAGCAGACCAGCGGTATTTTTTTTCCTAGTTTCAGTGGGGGTCTTTTGCCTATGTTTTAACTGAGAAAGTTAATAGTTTAAGTGAGGGTGGCCTTGTTTAGAGTACATTGCAAGCTCCTGCTCGGAGTTTTTATTTTAATGACTTATCACTTGAAACTCTTTTTAATAAACTGAAGTGCTGCTGCAAGTCTGTACTGAAATTAGCACACACAAGTGTGAAACTTGTGTATTAAAAATAGAGTTCCAGAGACTGCTGCATTTTCCACTTTTCCTAACACGAATATGTTTCCTTGTGATATTCTTTAAGGATAAAGACTTCTAGTAAATAACCCTGTACTAGGAACTAGCTCTGTGTGACTGAAAAGCAACCGAGCACTTCTGTGCCCATGCAGGAGCTGCCTGTGGACAGAACGCACCTGGGAACTAGTAAGGGTTCTTCCTGGGCAAAGTTCAAAATGGAAAATGTTAGAAGCTGAAAACTTCATGCTTTAGGGTGAGATAATACTTGAGACATGGAGCCATGTGGCAAACATGCTTCTTCACAAGCATTTAACTTTTCCTTCTGCCCCTCACATGCGGGACCTGCTCCCTCCTGCTCCTGAGCAGCTGTACCTGCAGCCCAGGGCAGGGCTAAAGCAGCCTTCAGTTGGCAGCAGCACAGAGCTCTCTGAATTTGAGTGTCAGCATTTTTCTTTTGCTTCTTTTGCTTTGCACTCTTAGTCGGCCCTCTTCAGCTGAAAATGTAAATATTTTCCCTTAGTGTGAGCGCTTAAGGTTTCTGTGTCTACTCATAAGCAAAAATCTTGTCTTGGAAAGAAGAGCAACACAGTCCCATGAGACTGCTTCATGCACCCATGTCACTATTTATTTCCTTAAACGCCCATTATTTCTGGGCTAGTTTAGATGATAATTTTGTTGAGAGCACATTAGGAGTTGGATGGTAGTGAGCGATAAGTGATAAGAGTGAATGAAAAGCAGCTGGTGGACTGCTGGATTGGAAAAGTCTGGCTTCTTTCTCCTCTGGAAGATTAATTCTGTTTTATGACTCTTTTCTGATAGTATCTGGTTTCCTTTAGGCATTTGGCATTCTTGGGTGTGTTTTTCTTTTTCTTTTTCTTTTTTTTTTTTGGAGAATGCTTCATGTCATGCATGCATGCAAACCATCCATCACATCATTCAACCTTTTATTGTGTTGTGGGGATTGTTTCTGTTCATTGTGTTTTCTGTGAGCCCTGTAGCTGCAAGCAGCATATTTTTGCTGTGGATGAATTAGGACAAGTCTTTGCTGAGTGCTTTTCTGAGTTAGTTGATTCTGAACTGAAATTTGCTTTTCCATCTCATGGGAAATATAGCCTCTGTCTACTTCATTGCATTCCCATGAAAGAGCAAAGGGAAAAGAGTGTGATAAAGAAGCCTATAAATTATTTCTAAACGTATATAATAAAAGCTGCTCTGTGGGGGAAAAAAACTGCTACCTGCCTAAACTGGGCAGGCCTTTAATAGACCATCTGCTGTGAAATTAAAACTGTCAGACGTGAGCAGGCCACACACCAGCTATAGGCACACGTCAAGCAAACGAATGTAGCTTAACAGAAGTCATCAGTAAAATAAATAGGCATAACACAAGTTGAGCATGTAACAGAACAGGACTTTGGAAGTCAATAAAGAGCAATCTCATATGCTTTAGATGCTGAGTTTTCTATCTGAGGGGATAAGCAGATTGAAGCCACTCCTCTGGAGCGTGTTGCTGAGAAGGTCATAGGTAATGGGAGAGAAAAAAAGGAACTGGGAGGATCTTAGAACTGGCTTAACTTAGAGGTTTAGCGTTTCTGAGAAAGTCAGGGGCAAAAAACATCTGAAAACCAAATGGAAGCCCTAGAGGTTGGAATGAAGCCATTAAAAAAGTGTGTCTCTGTGTGTTCCTCGTATGGTAGCAGTGTTGCTTTCTGCTGACTGGGCGATACTTAAGGAAGGTCATCAGCTTTGGTCCTTTGGTTAAAATGTTGTTGGCAAATTGTAGGTATGTGGCTGTGGGGAGCATCCCAGTAATCTGAATTCTGAGCTCAGAGGGTGAAGGGCTGGGGATCTTAGTTAAGAGTATCAGGAAAGGTACTGCTTCTGCAGGCAACACTTTGTAGGGATTGTTTTCATACCATTGCTGAGCAGTCTGAGCCTACACTCTATACCAGGATGAGGGGAAATTTGTCTTATTTCCCTCATCATTCACAGTGAAGACAGTAGCCATTTCTTGCTGCTAGACTGGTCAGGAATTGCAAGTCATTAACCTGAGCAGAACGTCCCATCAATAACAGCCAATGAGTGTTAATAAAACATTGTTGTAAATTGCAAATTGCCAGTAGACAACGTAAACAGAAGACTCAATAGAGCAAGGAATGAATCTCTGAGAGAAAATTCCTCCATCTGTGTCAGTTTCAGGAATCTTCAGAAATCTAACTGCAATGAGTTTGTTACCTGGGGCATATCTCAAATACGGATCTGATGAAGTTAAGAGAAAGGGAGTTCATGTTGGTGTGGCTGCAAGGATAACTGCAGCAGTGTGAGTCCCAATTGGGTAGAAATCCACGCTGAATTGTTTTTCATACTTGAAATATGTATGCAGATTTGTGTTAATACAAATCAGTTCATTTTGAAATGCCTAACGTGGACCTGCTCAGAATCCTGTACACCCCATCTGGAGGCCATGCTCCTGTTCTTCACCTTACTGAGGGAGAGCTGAGCTGTGGTGGTGCTGCACTTCTGCAGCTCATCGTTCAATAACCGTCTTCAGATGGACCAGAGATCATCTTTACATCTGCTTTAGTTACATCCCACACCTAACCAAGGGGACCGAGGGGCACTAACAGAGCTCTGGGACAGGTAGGGCAAGTTTGTTGTACAGGGCAAGTTTGGTTGATGATATGAAATAAATACTCAAGTTGTTGCGTTGGAGAGCAGTTCAGGTGCTGTATACAAACTTCTGGGTTGGCTATCACTGTATTTGTAGCAGTTTTCTCATGGGCTGGGTGGCAGCATGAAGGACTCTCTCCTAAAGTTGATACACCTGTGAGCAAAGTGGCACAACTGGGTGCGCATGGGAACTTTGCACAGGCAGGCACACCAATAGCAGAAGCAGGGAGCTAAATATGTTGACAAAGCATGTGCTTTCCTATTTCAAATCTTGAGTAAGCTGGTTATCTGACTAACCTGCCCTTCTCATGTTTGTTTAAACTTGTCTGGTACCTCATTTGAAAAGAGAAGAAGTGAAATGAAGATATGCTAACAATTGCAGTAATGCTCCATAGTGGCTTACTGAAATTATTAAACCAGCTTGTATGGGATCTGTATTTGTGAAACACACTGTGCAAACAAGCTCCTGACAATGTGACTTCCCTTATCCTGAAGTCTCTGGTATGTTCCCAGCACCTCCCCATCCTTAAGCAAGATGAATAACTATAGTTAATCTAGGCAGGCCGTTTAGATTAATCTAGGCAATAAAATGCATGAATTAATAACCAACTGTCCCACTTGCCTTGAAGATGTTAGTGAGGATGGTAACTTGGAGGGAGCTACAACACCCACTGCTTCAAACAACACAGATGAGTTGATTCTTTCTAATAACTTGATCTTTAATACTCAAAACTTTTGTGTTAAACAATCAAACAAGAAAACATGTAATTAAGCAAAATGTTGCTCCCTTAACAAGATCCTGTACCAGCTACTTAAAAAGTGCCAGGCACATTCAGTTGCTTATATGTTGCTTTCCATATGGCTAATGAGAAAAGCATAACAAAAGCAATCAAAGATCGGTACTTCCAATTATTTGTAACGAACTGCAGATCAGCTTTGTACTTAGCACCCTACTGTGAACTTCTGGAAGGAGCCATCATGAAATTAGTGAGAAAGAAGCCTGTAAAATATCAATATTTTTGTGTGAAATGATACTGTCAATTTTCCTAATACCTCATCAGGATATGATATAAAATGTTTTATATGTTTACATTGATATTATATTCACGTTGTTTATATTATTTTTATGTGTGTGTGTGTGTGTTTGTATGTGTATAGGCATCAGGAAAGAACCTTTTTTCCAGGAGATATTTGCAAAAGAACGACTTGCCTGGATTTGTAGTCTTTTGTTCCTTTCATTTTTATAATATCTTTGCAAACTTGGTTGTGTTCCAGACTTGTTAACTAAGATACTGTTCTTCAGCTCCTATCAGTAGAGAGAATCATAGAATCACCAAGGTTGGAAAAGACCTAAAAGCTCATCCAGTCCAACCATTCACCTATTCCCAATAGCTCCCACTAAACCATGTCCCTCAACACAACATCCAGAAAAATCCCATGAAGGAAAAAGAAAGATAAAAAGGGGGGAAAAAGACCTTTCTGTTGTGCTTAAGGATGTCTTTAGGCAAGACGTGATGCCGTGTTAGAGGTGGCAAAGAATGAATTTCATCAAGACCATTGTTTCGTTATGACCGTGCCAATCTGTGGGCTGGAAACTGTCAGAATTCCTCTCTGAGACTCAGTAATTGAGACTTGTTCCACGAATTCCTGAGATGGTGCTTTACACTGATGTTCTCGTGGCAGTGTGGGTGCTGCATATTGAGTTTCTGCCAAGTGTCGGTGTCAGTTATTTGCCATGCTGCGTTATCTGCTTTCTAATCCAAAACATCCACTAATCATCGTTACCTTTCTCACTCTCTTTTGACAGGTCAGTCCCACTTAGCATGTTACAGACTATCATTAAGTCACTACTTTCTTTTATCCCCCTCTTCAACCTGATGCACATTCTATTCATCCTGCGCTTCCTACCGCCATCTGCGACGCACTGGCCATAGGTATTTTGAGCTTCGTAGGATCTCCACGTGTACAGAAGTCTTCAGCTCAACTCCTCTCCAGATACTTGTACAATGTATTTAACGTAACCATCTCAGTACCCATAGCAAGTCTGCCACCCAGAATGGCACCGACGGCGTGTGACCCCCTGGCACTGCTTAGGTTGGGGCTTCTCTGCTCAGCCCGATGCTGTTGGAAGACCTCTGTCACATCAGTAAATCCCACCTTCCGGCATCCAAGAATTAATTATTCGGTGACCAAGTGCCATCAAAGGCAGGTGATTGTGCTCTGTCATGACTGATTTACTGTATAATATACATATTATTTTATATTTTTAAGGGATGAAAATGTGCTGCTACATGGTTTAATTTTACTGCTTACATTTTTGGAAGGAAATTTTCCCCAAAGAACCATTTGTAAAATCCTGATAAAATCTTTGGACTGTATAAAATGACCTTTCTTGCAGTACCTGCTAAAGATCAAATGGGATGCAGAGAAATCTGTTAGTATAAATCTAGGTTTTTGGAGTTTGGTAGTTACATGACTGTATGTGTGACTTATCTTCAAGTTACAATCTGGTCTGCTTGTAGTTCTCCCTACGGTGGTGGGTTTTCCTGGAGTGTGTTGGCTGGCCGTGTGTTGCTAAGCACTGTTCTAAGGACACTTTGAAAGCTTTCAGAGTGCCGCAGAAGTCCTGTCTTGGGAAAGCCTGATCTGCTCACACCAGAATTCACACACGGGAGGGAACAGCCCCCAGCAGGAACAGGCACTCCCTTCCAAAAACAAAAAGCCCCAGGTATAGCCCTCGTTAAGGTATAGATGGTCCAAGAGGAGGTGCAGGTCACAAAGCTGTCCCTTGCAGACCAAACTGGGAAACACGCCTGTTAGGAGGTGAAGAGCATGCTGCAAATGCACTTGCTGCTTGTGTAACAACATGCAAGCCATCCTGCTGTGCTCAGAGCCTTTCTCACCTCCCTGGTGCCAGGCAGAACGTGTCCAGCTTCTCAGCAAGGGGGCACTGGAATCCTTCTGGGAGAGCACAGCTGCAGGTAGAAGCTGCTCCTGCTGCTGTGTCACATTAGCCGTGTCACCCAGCAGCGTGGCTCCCAGGGAGGGTACAGCTACATCTTCTGCTGCAGGTGTTTGCTCTTAGGTTGAGAGAGAGAGAGACAGATTTTTTCTTTAATTTCTGAATGTGTTCACATTGACACGAAACTAGTTAGGTAATGGAGAGCCTTTTGAAATACTGCAAATTTACTTTAGTATTTTTTTTGTCTACTGACATTACTCAGTTTCTTGCAATGTAAGTTGGACTTGATTTAACTTTTTTTTTTTTTTTGATGTTGCACTATATTTGGGAGCATTTTGCAAAAATATTTAATGAAGTTGCAAAATTTGCATGTAATTAATTTATTTTGTATTTTTCAGAGTTTTATATTTTTCTTTTTGTGCATGTGCACTGCCAGGAAAATGAACTGTGAACTCACCATATGCAACCTTTACTAGAGTTACTAATTCAAATCTACTCTTCTGCTATGAACTAATTATCCTCTTGTTTTTGTTCTAATGCAGTTGTCTTAAAAAAAAAGACCAATACTTAATACCAAACCCTTAGTTGCTGCCTGATTTTGTATTGCAGTACAGCTGCTGATCTGTATTTTGAGTTCAAAATTTGGTAGGGGGTTGCATTGTAAATGCAGTTTCCCAAGTTGCTGTTATCATCAGTTATGTATGACAGTTTAGACAGATTTCTTCAGCTTGAGTACTAAGTTAGCTTTGACATCTCTTGATTGTGCTAGTGCTGATCAGCCAGTCAGTTCATCTAGCTAAAGCAGTGCGAGTTTCTCCAAGTTAACTTCTGCTTCAAGACTGTAAGAGAACTTTCTATAGCTGAAACACTGACAAGATGCAGCAGGCTGAGCTCCTCCAAAAGAAATACATTCGATGCTTAATTGGAAATTATCCAGTCTGTCAGTTCTGCTTATAGATTCTTGTTTTGTAGCCTATTTTAATGAGGCAATTTAAGTTTGTATTGCTTATTGTATATCCAGCTTTTGTACCATTTTCAAGTCATGTATTTTATAGATAGAAAATGAAAGCCACACATCTGCTCTGCAGGGATCAAACCCTGTCTTTTGTCATTTCCAGTACCTGACGCTGTCTTACTTTGCTCTTTGAATGTTGTGTCATATTTATTCTAGGCTGATTTTCAAGTTGTGATTTGTATAGCGCAAATGAAACTTCACATCTAAGATGTCTTGCATGGTTTTGGTGGAAACACTTTTCACAAATGGAAGCCATACTTCAGATGGAACTAAAGTGCGTACTGTTCTTTTTCAAGGAATAAAATACTATTTCCTGCTTAGCTGAGCTTCTCTCAGTGATATCATAGAATCATAGAATGGCCTGGGATGGAAAGGAGCACAGTGCTCATCCAGTTCCAACCCCTGCTGTGTGCAGGTCACCAACCAGCAGCCCAGGCTGCCCAGAGCCACATCCAGCCTGGCCTTGAATACCTGCAGGGATGGGGCATCCACAGCCTCCTTGGGCAACCTGTTCCAGTGCCTCGCCACCCTCTTGAGTTTCTCCTTGAATTCACGTTTTATTGACTTGTTTTCCCAAAAGCAAGGAAAGTTAAACCTGGGAAGATCTCGGCTGAAGGTTGTGTTTTACTCAACAAGGGTGAGATCGGATTATCCTGAAAACACTGAAAATCAAAAAAGTGAAAACAAACAAACAACCAAACACCCAAACATGTTTACGATGATGGTTTCTGCCAGGAGAACCTAATGAGTAGTGAGTAATGAACCTCCTCTTGCTTTGACTTCCCTCTGTGCTGTGGCTGTGTGAAGCGAAGCGCGCCGGCCGACATGTGCTGCACGATGGGACACGGCTGCAGGGCGCTGCTCCCCATCTCGTCCATTGGAACAGGTTTTGTGGTGGGAGAACCGCAGGGGTTCTGTAGAATTATCCATGTCTAGTTTGTAAAGTGTGTGCCGTGTGCTGCAGACGTGTATTCTCTGGGCTCTATGTATCTTTACAGTAGTGTTCATTTTAGGAAAAAAGAAATAATAATAAAGTGTGGACACCTTTTGCTGGTAACAAGGGGAAATTTTTTTTTTGTTGTTTTTGCCATTGCATCAAGCAATGCTGAAATGTATTAATCTCTTGACAGCAGATCTGAACCCTTTTTCCCCCGTCCCGTGGAGATAAGTATTTTATCTTCGTTCCGCAGTTCTATCGGATTCGGGTGGGAACGCTGGCAGACTGCATGATGTATCATTTGAAAACCGTTACAGTGGAAAATAAAACCGAGCTGAACTTTGCAGCGTTGTGTCACAAGCGTTTGCGCCTCGCGGCCCTCGCCGTTCCCTCAAGGGAGCACCGCGCGGGGCCGCCCGATGGGCGCCCCTCCCCGGCCCCACCCCGCGGGGCAGCGCCGAGCAGCGGCCGCAGAGGGTGAGCGGGAGCGGGGCGGGAGCCAAGGGCGGGAGGCGGCGGTGGCGGCCCCGATGCGGGCAGGGCGCTGCTCCGTGTCGTCAGGACGGCGGCGCGTTGCTCCTCGTGCCTCGCGTGCGCTCGGGCCGCAGCCGCCGGGCGCTCCGTCTGCTGCCGTCCGTTCGCTGGAGGTGCACGCGGAGCTGCGTGCGGGCGCGAGCTTTGCTCAGCCTTCTGGGAGCTGCGCGGAGCAGAGCCGCACCGCGCGGGCACCGCGGTGATGGAGGAGTTAAGCCCGAAATCCCCGAACCTGTGCTGAGTTACTGAGGACTGGCGCCGGAGGTAGGAGCAGCGCTCGCTTCATCTCTCTGCATTTGCTCTAAGCGTTCCCCGCGCGGATATTTCTGCGTTTAAAAATCTGGCAGCGAAAGCAAAACGAGCTTAAAAACGCGCTGTCCTCCGTGGTCTTCAGGCCGGTGGTGCGACAGGAATCTCTTTCAATATTGCCCCGTGAAATGCAGCAGAAAGATGCACCTTCAGGCTCTCCTTTGCAAAGGCTTTAAAGAAGGACCGAATTTGTATCTGAAAAACAGCGTGGCCTTCCAGCTTCGAGTATTTTGGAGCTGGGAGGAACAGGCTGCCGTTCTACGTGGTTCATAATCTCGGCTCCGCAGAGCTGCCTCTGGCAGTGATGAATAACAGCGCTTCGGGGAGGACTAATATCCCCTATTATGCACCTCGCCAATTGGGCGATGTCAGAAACGGAGAGATGCGAGGGAGATTATCTCCTGACCCCTGCAGATCATGCCCTGCAGTGCGGTGATTACCCTTCCCGCAGTCTAAACATGCATAAGTGCAGGTGGTAGAAGTTACAGTCATCTAATCCTTTTTGGGAAAAATGCTGCCCCGGCTTTGTCTCGATGTGAATAAACCTGTTGCGGCAAATTGCATTCATTCAGAGCTCAACTTAATTTGCAGAAATTGAGCTAAAAGCTTATGAAATGGATGGGGATGTGCAGACGTGGCTGTTGTATGGCTGGACTTGCTCACCTGGCAGCATTCTGCGTATCCCCTCGCTGCTTAAAGTCTTGTTTGCTGGTCTTGTTTTTGCCTTATGCTTCAATTGACTTGAAACCAGGTGCAAGAAGTTTTGGTGTCCACATAGATGCGAGATGTTAAATGTGAGCTTCAGTGTCAGAATTCCTTTTCTCAGCTGGTAACAAGCTAAGAAAGTGCGTTGGGCTGTAATTTTCTATGGGTGGGGGGGTTTCCCTTAGCCTATAGCTTTGGTGGGTGCTCTATCTCACTGCTGTTCTCTCACTGGGGCCATCTTTTTGCCCAAAAGTCTGCTGTCTCCATCTGTTGTGTCTGGCTCAAGTAACACAACACCTTCCCCAGACTCATCGTTTCAGTGCTTTCTGTAGTGTCTGGCTCCTGGAGGCTGCAGGATGGCTTGGGGTTATCCTCTGATGGACGTTCCATCTGAGAATGGCAGGATGGAGGGCATTATCAGATGCCTGATCTTAGCTCTGCAGCTCTGCTCCAAGATCTGTCTGCTCAGAGGTGGGTCCTGTGTCCAGGCTTTTAAAGCTGTCAAGTTAAGTCAAACATTAAACAAAATGCAGGTCGCCTCGGTTCTTCCCAGACGCTGGTGTGCTGGGATCACTGAATATGCCAGGAGTTTTATTTTATTCCAAGTGCCTGGAGACGTGACCCCTTCCTGCAGTTCTTTTCAGTACGTGTCTATTTAGTGTTGTGCTTGTGGAGTGCAAGCAGAATTGCACCCCATGGATTGCCCATGGCACAGCTGCCCAGGGAGTGGGGGGCAGCAACCCTGGGGCTGTCCCAGAGCCGTGGGGATGTGGCATGGAGGGCAGTGGGCATGGTGGGGTAGGTGAGGTTGGACTCAGAGATCTCGGAGGTCTTGTCCAACTGGAATGGTTCTGTGTTCCTGCTGTGTGATTCCCACCTGCCTCTGTTGATTCAGTACCATTCTTTTGCAAGATGGATTGTTGACATGATCTGAATTCGAAACAATCCAATTCAGAAACAAAAGTGCATTCTTTCCCAACCCCTTGCTGTAAATGAGTGAATGTTTGTAGAGGTGAGCAGATCTACAAGACTGTGGCTAAGAACTCCTCACACAAATTGTCTCATGTGGAAAAACTTAAAATAGGAGTTTAAAACACTATTGAGATATTAGCTGCGGATTTACGGCTAATCTGCATGGACTTGAAAATTTCTCTTTGTGAAGTAGCAGCATGAAGTTAATAATTACAGGATAATTGGACAAGAAGAAGGATGTGTCAAGTGAGGTAGGATTTCTGCCTCATTAGTTGTAGGAAATGAGATATTCGGTGTGCAGAACTGATACTTGCCTTTTCTGAAGAGCTGTGTTTGCAACATAGGGGTGCAGAAGGATATTTCAGTAAGAATTAATGGAGGGGAAGAACAACCTTTGCTCGTGCAGCACTGAGGCCTTCTGGCTTGTCACAATGGCCCAGCCCTGAGCTGCTCACAGGCTGCTCCTTGCTGCGTGGGTCGTGCCCATACATTGCCTTCAGTGTGAGATTTGTCTGCCTTGTGCTCTTCCAGTTTTTCCCCTATTCTGATGAGTGTTGTGTTGCAGGCTGGGGTGACTCGTCCACAGAGCTGAGGGAGGATGGAATGAAGAGAGACAACAGGACCCAACCCTCACCTTATTTTCACTTTTAAATAATGCACAGGGCAAGCAGCAGCCCTCCTGGGGCCTTCATAGAATCATAGAATGGCTTGGGTTGCAAAGGACCACAATGACCATCCAGTTTCATCCCCCTGCTATTGCAGGGTCACCAGTCAGCAGACCAGGCTGCCCAGAGCCTTCCAGCCTTCATGCAGTAGCAAACACTTGAAGAGCCATGTGTTTTCAACAGAGATCAGCTGTTGACGTCAGATCTTCTGAGAAATCATTACAGAAATAAAACAACAGCAGATACAGAGAGTCAACAAGTAGCTGGACCACTTCTAGTTGTTTTTAAGGGTTATTTGGTCTTGACAAAATGCCCTGTGGTGTCCAAACTTCTGAAAATATCAATAGGCACATGAATATGTTCATGAACCTTTGTATCCAACTGTCATGCCAGTGTAAGGGCAATTACAGGTTGGTTCTGGGCCTTGGAAGGCTGAATGCACACACTTGTGCAGTTTTGGTAGTTGCAGAGATGCGTTAATTTCAGGTAGCACAGGAGGAGAAAGCAGCGTTTCCTTTTCATTCTTTGCTCCGGGCAGCATTGTGTTATTTCTGAGGACAGCTGTGTCTGAAGGAGGAATGTCCTCTGGGTTCATTTCAGCTGCTTACCAGGGAAATAGAAAGGCAGCCATTAAAAGCCGTGGAGATGGGCACCTAGTGCTCCTATTGTTGGCCATCACATGGGAGTTCCTAACCAGGTGACGTTTGGACATTGCAAAGACCTTGCTCAGGAGTATAGTGCTGGTAGAATTCTTACACTGGCACGGCACTATTTCCTAATCTATTTGTTTATTTTTGTGTTATCCACTGTGTTAATATCCTGCCTGAATATGTTTCACTGTGGGATTCTGGGTATGCCCAAAGACCTCTGATCTGGTAAAGCATGAGTGGCTAACCTTCTAGTTATTGATATGGTTGTTTTTTCTTTGAAATGCATTTCCATCTTCTTTAATATTGCTAAAAATACCACGCTGCAAGCAAGATAAGGAGTCCCAGTTGCATCAGGCTTCTTGCAGTGGGTTTTGCTTGTTCTGTATGGATATGAACTACATGGCAAGGTGGAAGGGATACGTTTATTAAAGCCATGCTTGCCTGGTTGGCTTTTTATGCTGTCAGTGCAGTTTGACCGTGGTGAATTAACAGTGTGGTTTTAAGCAGCATATGTCATTGCAGAAACAGAAATGTTTGCTTGTACACTCAGATACCAAAGTGAAGGGAACTGAGATCTCTCAACTAGTTAAATCCATGTTTACAACCCTGCCTGTGGTTAACCGTCACTAGATAAGATCGTGGGCTGTCTCATGTGAGTGCTAACATGTAATGGAGTGATGATACGATTCACATTTAAATGTCTTTTCCTTGTGCTTTATTTTTTCTATTGTCTTTGGCTCTGGAGAGGAGCCGTCTGTGTTGTGAGGAATGTTATCAGTTTATTAAGTGGCTGCTTCTGACAATAATCTATTGTAGCTGGGAGGGCAGTGATTGGCACTCAGTAATCTTACACGGTGCTGTTTCCCTGCAGTGCTTCCATGTGAGAGGCCTGTGTGGTTCAGACTAATTCTGGTAGTGTGCTAAATCACGTGCCTGGACATACACAAGATGGGACTTGAAATTTGGCAGTGTGCACGCTTCTAAGTCAACACAGCTTAAAAGCAGGCACGGTGCATCAATGTAATTGTTGTTCCTGTTTCTTAGTTATTTCAGAAACGCAAAGTTCTACCTTAATCTGAGCTTTAGTCCCAGCTGTCAGCGTACATCTTCAATTTACACTCATAGAATCACAGAATCTCAAGGTTGGAAACGACCTTCAAGATCATATCAGCTAAAAGCGGTGCTTCAGCATTTGGGGTATGTCACCTAGATTGTGGTGCTTTCATACTGATTATGTTACCAGAGAAACCAGTGTTTGTATGTATGCAGACGCATGTTTATATGCATAAAGAATTGCTAAGAGTTGATAAGAATTGATAGTATTCAGTCCAGTTGGACATGCAGATAAGTAGGTTGTCTTCCCCCAGACAGGAGCTTGCTGCGGGATGGCTCTGCAGAACCAAGTTTTAAGAATGCTCTTTGCAGGTGAGTTTCCAGTCTTCTGTGGAGCACAGTTTTTGTATATATTTTGTATATCCATTTGAAATTAGACATTTAGATCTAATTCTAGGATTTTGTTACGAGCGCTTTGAGCATTAAACTATTCCCCAAAAACCATGGCTGGAACAGGAGTTGTGTGAACTGTGGCAGGCATCTTTCATTTTCATGTTTGTTTGGCTATAGCTTGTTTGAGCACTTCTTCATAGAACCACAAAATGACTGGGTTGGAAGAGACCTCAAAGACTATAGAACCATGGAATGGTTGGGCTGGAAGGGACCCCCAGCCCTGCCGTGGGCTGGCTGCCCTCCAGCTCAGGCTGCCCAGCACCCATCCATGGCCTTGGCTACCTCCAAGGATGGGGCACCACAGCTCTGGGCAGTGCCACGGCCTCACTGCCTCTGGATAAAGAATTTCCACCTTACACGTACTGTGTGTCTATTTGTGCTGGGAGGGCTGCGGATGGGAGATAACTGTGATTCCCAGTGCCGTGTTCCCACAGCCAACCTGGAAAGAGGTGTGGTT